CTAGACCATGTAAAAGTAGTTATTTCAATATTCAGGTACTTAATGTTGCCAGCTAATTAATCTAGACCAGACATAGTACATTGACCGGACATAATTTTAAGCCTTTGACAGTCAGTATTCTCTTCCTTGTGGATTAATTGCTTTTAAATCTAACAGTACCTATTAACTTGATTAACAGCCAAGTATTTCATTCATTGGAGGGTACAGCATATTAAATTCCCAGTGATACTGTCAGTCTCAGGTTGTGTACATTTTATTTGATTTCCCGCAAGAGTTAAAGCAGAAGTCACAACTTCTGGCTCTGAGTATTGTTCCGATGTTTGTTTTCTTTGAACAATAGGTGTGTGCATGTTAATGGAGCGAGGGAAAATCCTTCCTGAACTAAAGGTTTTTAAAAATCTTCTCTTCTTAGCCTTGGAAGAAGATGAAAGTGAGGTCCTCCAATGTAGGATGGAATGCTCTCTTGTAGGTGAACAAGAACAAAGACATTCAGCAGGTATCTACTGATATAGTTGATTTGTGGTAGATGGTATTTATTTTGAAAGTTAATAATATACAGGAAAAAAAGTTTGAACCACATTACCTTAGAGCGCTAGTGCAGTTTTTAATTAACGTCACAGTGCAAAAACGAGGAAACACAAATGCAGAAAGCAAAATAATGCAAATTTCTCAGATAATGAAAAACCTTGATTGGCTAATAAACGTTAATAGAAATATAGATCAAAACCAATCAGGTGCATACATCGGGAAGCATGCATACTTAATTTTATCCTTTTTCTTTTGTAGTTAACACTTTTTTTCCTCACATTTTATTTTATAAATGCACTTGATCATTTTTATTTATTTATTCACTGTGGGTTGTGTTTTATTTCATTTTTAAAATATACACCCATTTCAATTAAGGTTAATGCTCCCAAGGACCCATGAACCATGTTTCATACCCTACAGTGTACCATGGTAAACCCTTTTGTAGCGGGAAGTTCAGTCTTGTTCACGTTCATTGAAATAATGGAGACCATTTGTGAGAAGGTGTTCCAAGAGAACTTTCAAGTCAAATGGCTGCTAAAAATCTTAAGCATGAGCGAGCTGAAGAATTTCATTTTAAAATTTTTAAAATCTCACAGTAAGAAATTAGAAGTCTCTTCTTTTAACAACATCAAATGGATAGGGTTTTACCGCCTGATTAAGCTGCACTTTTGCATGGGCCAGAATGCTGGTTATTTCAATAAAGCAAATCAACACTATATTCTTTTTTTATTCACTTTTTAAAAAAACTGTCTCAAGAATAGACGAATGCATAATGTTAAGTTATTTATTGTAATTAAATGAATGCCTTGAATTTGGTTTTTCTTCTTAACTCAAAAAATTCCCACGTGCACAGGCCGAGCAAACTCATTGAAAATTTGCAACATTTGCATGCATGTTACCACAGAGAAAAACCTAACCTCAAATCACTGTCTTAAATCAAAAGGCCTAGGATTCAGTGTTTTGAAATACATTGTTTTAACATTCTGCTGACATAGCATAGATGCGTCAGCAGCCTTTGCTATCTAGGTTTCTAGGCTGGTTGTGGGTGGCTAGACTTGCCACAATAATGCACTGTGGGCTGTGAAACATGGATCATGCATCATGCATCATGCATCATTCTTCTCTGAAGCAACCTTAATTGAAATAGGTGTATACAAGGGTGTGTCTGTGTGTGACAAATAGATTTTTTTTTTTGAGGGACTCAAAGGAGCAGCTATATAATTCATTAATGATGATCGAGGCCTTTTCTCATGTATTTCAAGCATTGCTGTTGTGCTTAATATGACAAGACATCATGTCTGTATACACCTATTTTAATTAAGGTTGCTCCCGTGAACCATGTTTCATAGCCTGCAGTGCACTATGGTAAACCCTTTTGTAGCAGAAAGTTTAGTCTTGCTCATGTTCATTGAAATAATGGAGACCATTTGTGAAAAAGCGTTCAAGAGAGCTTTCAAGTCAAATGGCTGCTAAATTCTTAAGCATAAGCGAGCTGAAAAATTTCATTTTTAAATCTCGAAGTAAAGAATTGGAAGCCTCTTCTTTTAACAACATTAAATGTATTAAGGGTTTTACCGCCTGATTAAGCTGCATTTTTGCATGGGCCAGAATGCTGGTTATTTCAATAAAACAAATCAACGCTATTCTTTATTTTTAAATTCAGTTTTAAAAAATTGCCGAAAAAACAATTAAACACGTAATGTTAAGTTATTTATTGTCGTCCAACAACCGCCTTGAATTTGACTTTTTTTTTAACTCCATCCAAAATTCCCATGTGCGCGAGCCAGGCAAACTCGTTAAAAATTTGCAGCATTTGCATATTACACTGTCAGAAACCCATAAGGGGTTGAACGTGTAACGTGCGTTCACAGCGTTAATAGAATATTCAGTTTTGCTAAGTACCATATTTGGAAACTCGCAGATTTTGAACGCGCATGTACAATGTACCCAAGTTTTATACTACATGTGCTGGAAATCGAAAATGTAACAGCCCTGTGTAACAGCGAGAAACGAGAACCTCATATTGAACAATCGGTCTGTTTATTACAGCGGATTACAGGCAGGATTATTCGTACAAGAGTGTCTCTACCTACTCGATTCGTATTGAACTTTGATCGCGGCTAAACATTACCCTTCTGTCACTCGTTATTTCATTAAGCTAAGTTTTGTTGTGAGAGTTCTGTCAATTAAGTGAACGACAGTCATATTATTAATTAATAATGTGGCTTGAAGAGGCGTTACGTGTATTTACCCGCTTAAAGGCTATTAAACCTCTGTTGCAAAATCATTTTGTTAATACTTAAACGGATACATCAAATTTAAAAAAAATACCGTTCGTTTAGGCGGGCGTTTTCACACTCCAGTATTAGATAATACAATTAAGCTACCCTATTTAAGGACCGAGAATCTCAAAAACCATACCCTATTCCGCGGCACGTACCTATATAGCCCACATATGGGAGTAACCCCTTGGGCTCTAACCATATTCTGAGTCATGTTATTTCTTATAAGGGGATAAAAAGGTCGACAAACCGTGTTTCTAGACTTCGTAAACCTTAAAACTGACATAATTGCTGTGCGCACGTAGTCTTTCGCTGTGGAGCTCGATAGGCTGGACACGATTTTCCGAGTGACTCAATATTTTGGCACAACTTGTGCACAGATTAGGCACAGTTTGGGCACAACTTACGCACGGCTTAGGCACGTTTTTCAAAACTAAAATGCACACTTAATGCACATCTTAAGCACGTTTTAGGCACAAAATCTTTGTGCCAAAGCACACTCTAGAATCCGATTTTCGGTCCAACGCACGGTTTACGAATTTTCACGTTAAAAAATGCTTTCTAACCTTAGATATTTGATCTTAGCGTAAAAATGGGTTTCCCGAAGTCTTAACAGTTACACATGTAGTCTATAAGTTTTTCTATAAGGAAGGTTTAACTTATGAGCATTCCAAAAATTGTTATTTCTTCTCTTGACAACAAAAGAAAGTCAATCAAAAGCAATCTTTTAAATTGACGTTCGAACTGCAGAGAGATCAGATGTAGACAGAACATCTTTCTGAAAACGCCCTAAACTTTGTTGTTTTGCCATTATGTTCGGTAATTTTTAATACAGTTAGTACTCATAAGTCACTGACCTCTGGAGAGAAATTTTTCCAAAGTACCATTAACAGAAACAGAGAAATCCGACAATATGCGTGGTTAGACTTTAAATGTTACGCGAGCTGTTAAAATATGGTCCCATTTTGAGCCATATTTTTCATATTTTAATTTTATTTTGGTCTTACAGCCAGAAAAAAAAAATATTCAATTAAAAGCTGTTTATAAACTTAAACTTCTTGCCAAATATCGATGCGATCTGAGTTTTAATAAGTTCATAAGGGCCAAACGATGTGAGATTCTTAGCCGTGTACATCAGTAGCGTGCGCCAGGCCGTTTGTGTTTATTTACATTAGTTCGCCTGTTTAAAACGCGTGCATCAACTAATATAAACAACCTTGGGGCAGCACTTCACTTCTTGTATGGAACCTCTAGTAATATAGATTGTTTGATCTGATTGTTTAAATGGTTCTTAAAGGGTGTCTGGGAAGGCCGTTCTTCGGGCCATGCACGTAGTAGTAGCGGAACGCCCTGGGATACTGCTAAGAAAGCCTGGGTTGAGATTTCATGTCAGAAATATGCCTTGCATGTGCAGGCAGCAATGAAGCAAGTAGAGAAAATAATGAAAGTAATGCTTGATTTTATTGTTTCTACCAAAAATTTTATTTTTTCACATCTGACTTATTGACTCATTGACTCACTGACTCAAGACTCATGACTCATTGACTCATTTGACTCATAGAACATCCGTTCTCAATTTAACAAAGTTTAAAGGACAAAAATATCATTAAGGTTCCTTCGCTTGTTTTATATTTGTATAATAAAATGTCAATCCAGAACAGTTTTGTCCAGTGTACTATCATTTCCAACCCTTTCAGAATCCGTAATTCGGTTATTTCGTCTGCACCTAGCGCCTCAAAACTCATCGGCAGCCGTTGTCGCACTCTGAAAGTCTGAAATGCTTATAAAAAAAATTTGGAGGGAATCATTGGCTAATCAGAAAAGGAGATATATATTTCTAGCGATGTTTACTTCCAGGATTTGTAACAAGCTTATCCCATAGTTTTTTTGCGTATTCGTGAGCATGAATTACCCTATGAGTTTTGAAATAGAGAAATCTTCTCACAGCCGCACAGAAGCGCAATAATTAAGTCAAATGGTCTTACATGGCTGGATGGCTTTGCCTGGAAAACGTCACATTCTACGAACAATCAGAGATCTACTACACCAAAATGACAGACAATAATCTTTTTTGTGATTGGTTTAATTTTAACAAAACTCTACGCCTGATTGGTTTGAATGAACACTAGGAATGTAATTGGCAGTCTTAGTGATAAAAGGGCACTCCTTTGGACACTTTTCCGAATTTGGCGTAGCGACCTTTTCCCAAGTTTTTCTTTGCGGAGGAGGACAACTCAAGCGCCAGACCTCTGCTTAAAAATGAAATCTATCATGAAATGCCGGCATGTATCCTATGTTCTTCTCATTGCTGTTGTCCAATGGCTGTGTTTGGCTAGAGCGTCGCACTTCCGGCATGGAAACATCGCCTGGGCTCCCGTAGACTCCAACAGTAACACGGTAGGATGTACACTGCCTAACACTCCACGTCAATGTTTTATCGTTAACCCACATGAGTTTCTTAAATGTGCCTCGGGGCAAAAACTGAGTCATCAAAAAAGCAACTCCATGTAACTCTTCCGACGTCTTTCTTGCCGTTGACTGACTCTTTTTAAAGAAAAAAATTACTGTGCTGTGCAGTTTAAACAAAAGGCAATGTGCGAGGTTTAAAAATTATGTTCGTAACCTTCATTCCAAATGTCAGGTAAAAACAATGTACTCTTTCTATCTCTGTAAATGGAAAGTACAGCCTAGCAAAGCCCCTAAGATTTGTATGTGGAGCTGCTAGGGTGAGTTTCAAGTCACAATTAAATAACTCCTTACCATTTTCTACTTAATTCCCTGAAAAAACCTTTTTTTGACGGGAGGGGGTGGAGAATTCAATCATTCATTCTTAAAGGTTTCTAAAGAACGTGTTAAAGGCCTTTATGTTTAATAGCAAAAAAAATGGATTAACCCGTAAAGTAGAAAACAGCGATGCTCTGTAACCTATGAGAGAAACAAAAAATTATCTATTTTAGCTCCATGTTTACCTGTCTATTCCAAAAACTGACAGAGGATCACTCCGCAACCTACCTCTGTGACTATGAAATAGTCCAATCATCTTAATTATTACTTATTATAAGCTAGGCTAGTGAACCATTTGAATCAAAACAAAGAATTCAAGAACGCTTTCTTCAACTTCAATTCTGCAACAGTCTTTTTTACTTGACCAAGTTAGTTGGCTATTAGACTCTCATACTGGTCCGCCTAGATTAGCAATTGCTATTTTGCGGGCCATTCTATTGTAATCAATGTTGTTATTAAAAAAGTTGAAGTTGATAGTAGTTAATACGTACATGACAATATTTTAATGGGAAAGTTCTATTGTTCTCTTAAGCTAGCCAATCAGATAGCCGCTTTGGATTGGTGCTCGGCGACCCTTTTTCATGCCTAAGAAAAATGTCTAGACGAAAGGCTCGGCTATATATGGAAAAGCAATACCGCAGCTTGTGACAGTGTTCTTTTTTCATTGAAACTCCCTCATTATTGCAGTAATTTGCAAATCAATCTTGCATAAAATGTGTAATTTTTATATCAAAACAAGAGTACTTTATCCTCAAATCGGGGCAAATCAAGAGCAAACGTCTGGTAATGGACCTTGTGCAGTATTTTCTTTAGTTTTCTGTCAAATTAATTAAATGTCATGTGTAATGTAAACAGGATTTAAACAGGAGATGCTTGTGATGTTTCCAGACAGTTTCTTTTAAAAAAATATGTGTTCATGACAAGTTTACATACCACATAAACATAGACATTCCACGGCATCCGAGAAACAGTTGAAAGCAAATTGTTTTTGCCACTTAGCTTAAAAGGCATTTAAGGAGCACACTATATACCCGCCTCTTGAAGAAGGCGTTTTGCGAATGCATCGATAATTTATTTGGACAGGATATAGCGAAAAGTTAACTTTTTCGGCAGATAGCAAGAATTCATGAACAAAGCTTAAACGGGCACCTTAGAGTCAATAAAGTCGCCACATTTAAAAGTTAAATGACGAAAATTAGCAAAGATATTAATGGCCAAATTTATGCTAGAGACGAGTTATCCGTCTAGACAGATTATCCGTCAGTCGGATAATTCGTCTAAGAATAAATCCGAAGACGAATTTTTGCCCCTGCTACGTGGGGGTAAAGTTTACAGAATAAACGTAAATTTTCTAACATGCAGTTCGCATATACCACGGAACGTAAGTATTGAGAACAACAAGGACGGCTCCAAGCTTGAGATAAAACAATAAAGCTTTTCATTTTTATTCTGACGGAACTGATTTAACTTTAGGTGCACTTAAGTTGTTTCCTGCTTTGGAATTTATTCAATGTCATTTCGCGCTTCGATGTGTTTTTAAAGGAATTCAAACCATGCGTAGTTCAGATGTGATGCCTTTTATATCAAGGTATTTTTACGATGAGAACGACGCTGAAAAACTTTGCTGACAGCTCCGCGTGGCGGCCCACTCGTTTGCTGAGGAGGTCAGATATTAAACACAGAGTCGAATTAGTTTGGAGGAAATTTGGCCACCAAAGGTGACGAACTTTATTTTCAAGATCTGCCAATATATAATCGACAAATATCTCTTCTGCAAAGGTGGGGGAAAAAACCGCCACCCACTAAGACAATAAAGAGAAACAAACTAGGAATTAATTCGCTGGCAGACGGAAGGGGAATGGGTGGAAAATGCTGAAAATTCAGTTCAAACAAGCGATGTTAAACAGCGTGATGGTAAGCGATCGAAAGGGGCGAGCACGCATGGTAAAGCGTGATCAAGAACGATATCGTCCGGAACGCCCTAATTTCTGATTGGCTGGAAATAAGAAAGGCTTGTAGCCCGCCTCCTTAGCCTGCAAACCATTATCTAAACAATGCCTTGCTATAAAATCCCATTAGGATGCCGTCATAATATAACGGTGTCTTTTATTTAAGATTTAATCACCTCTGTTTTTCTTTTTCTTTTTCTTTTTTTTTTTTCAGTTTTTTGCGGAATTTGCATAATATAAATAACCATCCAAAAGTAGTGAACAAATCAAATTTAAGCTGCAGCTGCTTTTAAGCCATAAACTTCCCCAAGGTTAACAAAAAGTTGGGCTAAAATGATATCTTGCAAAAAATAAAAAAATGTTTAAAAGGGTGTGAAATTACGCCTTAGTACAGTGTAATACAGGCACTTGTCTATCGGGTTGATGGACATTCAAAATTAGCCTGCAGTGCACGCGTATTTTGGGCTAGTAAAATTGTTATTTATAATTATTATTAAAATTATTCTTTTTGTTGTTGTTGTTGGTGCTGTTGCTGTTAATGTTATTATTATTATTATTATTATTACTTTAAGAGTTGGTTTCGAGTCTAACCTTATTAATAGTGCAGTGCGTAAAAAAGAAAAATATCTGAACTTGATCAAAGAAATGAGTAGAAATTACAGATGTGTGTAAACCTATCCATCCATGAGCTCCCTTGGCGTTTTCTCCAACGAATGCTCCATGTTCGTAGACATGATGAATGACATTGGCATTGACAAAAAGCAGCAACATTATATAATCAAAAAAATGATAAATATAGCCATTAGAGCAACATATTATATCTTTTGTTGTAGAAATAGAAATTTGGATAGCCCAAAATTAATGAAATTTAGATTTTTAATAAGGGACCGGTTATTATTTATCGCGTAAGGGGGCGGGGAAGTTAAGGGGAAATCACTTAATTTTTGGGAGAACAAACGGGAGGATCACTGAAAACATTGGAAGGATTCAGACGGGGGGAGGGGGGGGGACCACTCAAATTTGCTTGCAAAATGAAAACATGGGGGAGGGGTCAAAAAGACAAATACAGTTTCCATTATTAGTATTATTTGCCTACTAAGCCTAGGCAAACATGTTAGTTTCCCTCTTTATTACCAGATTCGTTTTACCTTTCGTCTGGCTTTCCGAAGATCGTATTCGGCCTTGTATAACTGTGATCAAAGTACAATTCACTGACAATTTATAGTGGTAGTCGAATTGGCTACGGAGATTCATGGACAGCAAACTGTGGCAATCCATCTTGCAGCCAGACATCGATCACTGATGCTGGCTTCCACTGTACTGACTATAGCACTGTTGAAGATTGGTCCATGGGGGATAATTCTATGGGCTGAGAATATCTAGTTAAACTTTATGTTTCTTCTTATTTTTTCCTTTTTACATGCCCATCAGCTTCGTTTCACGTTTCGTCTGGCTTTTCGAAGATCATTCTCGTCCTCCTATTACTGATCAGGAGGTTCATCGTATGCCAAGTGTAATTATTGCTCATCAACCACTATTGTAAGCACTGGTTTTCGCTGTACAGACTACAGGAGCAACGAGGATTGGTCAATGGGTGAAAATAACTTCAACTACACTTTTTCATTCTACAATAGATGGGTTGTAACGTACATTCCTCTATTTAATGCGTTTTTTTATCTTACGACCTCAGTTTCAAAATCATAAATGACTTTTATCATCTTCATCATTCATTTTCATACAAAATGTGATGATCAACTTATCACCGGTCAAGCAAGATGCGATTCAGATGAGTGTCAGCATCCGCAGTAAGGTCTTTCTATCAAGTGCCTTCTTTACATATAGTTCTCGTCTTGTGTCATAATGATGACGATCCAGTGCAGGATCGTGACATTTTGTCTGATATACTGCATTTTGTTATAGCTATGGCGGCTGTTGTTGGATATCCTTGTCCCGGTATGGAAATGGCAATTGGTTTATATAGACCACCGTTCTGACCAGAAGGTCAGATAATGGGAGAATTAACTCGTCTCCTGTATCAAGAAGCCCCGCTATTGTACGCTGGTCTGAAGGCTGTCCCAGTCAGTCTCTACGGATCCCAGTAGAAGACGCAGACGGAGATGTGGTAAAATGCCGCTATGCAAAATACTCCGAGTCCTCCATTTACGACGACAAAATGATTGATTGATTGAAGCGTGCTAAATGATCCCAAGAACTTCAGCTAAGACTGACAGTAGATAATGAGTGACTGTAACATCAAAAACAAATCATGGTGTTTTTAACCTTGCACTGTAAAAACAGACCAGTTATAGCAACTATATTAAAAGGTTATAACCAGTTGCAAAAGGTAATTTTAACCTAAAATAAACTAGTTAAAATCGTAACCTTTATGTTATTGGTTAGATTAACCAATGATCAGCAGTTGTTGTGACGGTTATAATTCCGTTAGAATATCGACTGGTCAAAATAACTTTTCATGGCAGTCAAAATAACGAAACCAAATGGTTAAGCAAATGGTAAAAATGTGCATCTAACCTGAAATCAATTGGTTAACATCTTTTATTAACTATTTGTTGGTCATGACCAACCAATAATGATCTGTTATTTAGAGCTATGAAGGAGGTTAAACACTGAATGGTCAAAACTGACTTTTCCGAGGGGTTAAACTGAACGGAAAACCACAGAAGGAAATGGCTACACAAACGGCGGGTATGACCCAACCTTCAACGCAGACTTTTCCCTTATGCTGAAGAAAGAACAAATAATCAGCATTTATTATGGGATTTAGGATAGGTTAAGACTGAATAGCCAAATCAACTTTCCCCAACAGTTAAAATATTTTAAATGACTTGCATCCAACTCGCGAGTCTTGCTTCAATGACTGGGCTGGTACGCGCTCGCGAGAGGCGAAGTCGCGTGACGCGAGGACTATTTTCTTCTCTGACGTTTCCCTCGACGGACTAGCCGAGAGAACTAATCGTCATCTAGGTGAAATGATTCTTCAAGATGTCCTGTACAGGTTGTGTCATTCAAATCAATGCTGAGCACCTCGAAAAGCCAACAGCTATCCTCGCGTGTTTTCAAAAAATACTTTCGTGTTTTTCACCGGTCACAAAATTCCAGCGGGTTTCCGGTATTTGTCTTAAGTGACCTAAAGTAACTCTATTTCGTCACGTCACGAACCCTAAATGGCGTTAAATGTTCTCAGTAAATTAAAAATCTTACTCAGTAACCTTTTTATAAGCTTAAACTATTTCATGGTTGGAAACTTGTGAGGCGATTTTACTGAGTTTACTCGAAAAACAACTAAGGGTTTTTAGAAAATGTTGCATTGTTTCCTGTCAACTGTAGTATGTTACTTAACACCTTGACGTTAATCTACTTAGCTAGCCAATGAGAGACTTGTAATTTCAAAATCAATGCCAAATTCGGCTCTCATAGTTCAGTTTTTTAGTTTAACCGCCTTGCGCCGAGGTGAAGTCAGTACTCTTGCTTCATTGCTGCGAAAAGAAACATTTTATATTTCGCCTGGATAAAGCCCCTCATGCCAGTTAAAAGTCAATGGCAGCTCGTTTCTTAGTCACGGACAGCAATGGAGATGTGGCAAGTAAAAAGGTAAGGTGATTTCAAATTTACGCAAGTCCGAAGATACCCTGCGAGCAGAGTCTCCTTCGATCTTCCTAGATAAGTCGACTTATCTAGGAAGATCGAAGGAGACTCTGCTCACAGGGTAGTCGGAAGACAACGTCTTCAGAATAGATTACTCACTTGAATTTCAGTCTTTACTGCTTCTACAAAATTCTTAGCTAACGAATACCTTGCAAATCTTTCATTCAAAGGAGGATGATAAGAAGATCATGACAGAATTTACTTCAGTTGACCACCTGAAACAGATAAGCAAAATATCTGCCCCGTCGACTAAAGACAAATGAACACAGGCAAAATCTCGAAGACTTGCTTCACCGACCTTCGCTGAAACAGCATGACCGGTATGTATTGCTTATTTTTAAACAGAACTCTAAATCGTTTTTAAAATTATCTTTTTGCAAATAAATAGACGCGTTTTGAGACAACCCCACGCACTTGCGTGGCCCTTTAAAGTTTTCTAAATGTTCAGTACAGTTGCATAGATTTTCCGGTCTTCGGATGACCATCTTAATTGCAATATTGTACTGCTGTTACAGAGCTATTATACGCTATTACAAAGCTTTTTTTTTTAATGTAGCTTTGAATTGCGCGTTGCTCACGATGACCACGCACACGCGTGCGTGCGTGTTCCCCACAGGCGTATCGCTGAAAGACTGTAATTTTTCGTGCGTTAACCAGTGAACTTAAAAACGAAATATTTTCGTTTATTTCAGAAATATCACCAAATTTGAACGACTGAGGGAATAAACAACTTTGAATGAAGCTCGGCGAGTACCCATATTTTCATTACAAGCAAGACAAGTCCTGATCCGGCGGATGAGTTACCCTCAACGAACCACTGCTTGGAATAGGACCTTTTTTCGCTTTCTAGTAGAAAAACGTGGCTTGTAGAACAATGAAAGGCACTGGTACTTTTAGATCATATGCTCCGCTTCAATCATTAGCCAAACAAAGAAAGTTACATGTACAGCGGGTGAGGAGTTGACTCTTCACTGGCAAGATCTTACAATTATTATATCATTGAATCTCACGAAATTCTTAATTCCCTATGTAGTTGACAAAGCAGTTTTGGCAGGAAAGGCACTTATACCTTAAGGGTTTAATTTCATCTAAGTACTGTATCACCATTGATCCTGGAGGTACTTGAATTTTTTCTGCTTAAGGATGTTTCTGTTTTACAATAATATGCCAGTGTACAAAGTCTTGTTTTGCAGTCTTGTGAGAGACATGCAGTATTCCAGTTTAAATTTGCTATAGTTTAGGAAGCAGGGCTGATTGTTTAATCATTCCTTGTTCTGCTTTAAATACTTGTATTAAGAAACATAAGCATTTTTTACTTGCAATGTTGTATGATTATCTTTTTTATGAAGTTAGTGGTCAACTATGTTGTTGTTGTTGTGTGTAGAGAACGGTTAACACAACCATTAAAAATGTTGCTGAAGACTATTATTGCGAGGTTAATGTAATTCATTATTATCAGTTAAAACAACCGTTTTCTTCTAACCCATATGGAATGGTTAAAGCTACCACCTCTTGACTATTTAAAATGGGTTACCACAGATTCATCGCTAGTACCCAAAAAACTGGTTTACCATGACCACAAAAAATGGTTATTATAACTTATCTGTATGGGTTGAAACATACTTATCTTTTTATTTCGGTTATAACAACTAAAAATTTAAAGTTAGCTTAACCAAAAAGTAGAGGTTATGACAAACAAGTCATAAGAAGTGGCGTGGGCTGTGGTAGAAACAACCATTTTTAAGGGTTAATATAACCCATAAAGAAAAGTTATTTCAACGGGAATAAAAAATGGTTAACCTGAACTATATTTTTTTGGTTACCGTAACCTAATAAAATACGGTTACCTGGGATTCAAACCTTAACCATTTTTTTGAGGTCACTATAACTGGTCAGTTTTTACAGTGTGGCTTGTCTTAGTTACTGAGATGGATCGTTGAGTAAAAGTATTACAAACATGGTCTTTACAATGATCTTTTTACACACTCATAGGTCAACTATATTCAACGATTTTGAGTGACATTTAAGTCAGAATGACAAAGCCATACCCTTAGGCGGCTCACATTTTGTAGGCGAGAGCGTTGATCTAATTGTCTGAATCACTACCTAACAACTCGATCGAGAGCGTAATATTTGAATAGCGTGCATGATGGTATTCGCGGTATTGTAACGATACGCTGACTAAGCCTGCCTTGAACTTCCGCGGTGTGTACGGTTGAGCGGTCCGGTCCTGCCCGTTCTCGGATGCAGCTCTAATGTAGAAAGTCTAAGATAAAAAAAAATAAGTAGTTAATCAAAGAAATAAAAGAGGAAAAAGGAAAAAACCCAACCGAAAAAAATGTAGATAAAGTCAGAGAGGTCCGTGGAATTCTCGGGTTTAATTCTCTCTTATTTAGTTCTAGAAAGCATGGAAGCAGGTGCCCTTTATTGTCTTCGCTGTGAGTGTTCTAAGCCTAGCAAAAAATAAAAACATAGCCACAGTAGCATTTTGTGTATTCTCAATATTTTGATTTGTCAGACACCATATGCATGCAGAAAAAAATGTAAACCTTGCTGGACCCTACTATGGATTTCATTTTAAACAATTAATAAGAAATTAAATGGAAACAATAGAAAAAATAATGAAACATTGTGTTAGTTCAAACCACTGTGCTCAGTGCTATAACGCCTCCTCCTCAGGCACTTCGTTTTTCGCATGGTTTCGCATAGAGGCGAGCGCAAAACGCGAGTGACTGGTGACGAAGCGCAAGGGACCTTCCCGCCTTCCTTTGGGCGCAAAATTTCATCGAGAGAGAGAGAGCCTACGTCTAGGTACGCGGCAGGTGCTATAAACTGAAATCAGTGCTATACTACCCCTAGTTACGCCCCTGCTTTCAAAGATTCTGTCTAATGTTCTGAGTCCACATCAGGCTGAGTATAGCAAACCGAAAGCGCCAGTACAAAGTTAAGTCACGGATGCCTTTGTTGTATTTCAAGAAAAATAATAACTAAAGGTAGTTTTATTCTGAGACTATGATAAATGATCATGAGGTTTCTTTAGGAATTTACAGTTTACAGTTACTTCTAAGAAATTCAACAACGTTTTCTCGTGAAATGTCGCTTAGTCTCTAGATCGACAAAATCTGTTGCCGTGACGTTTTTTCTTTTTTTTTTTTTTTTTTTTTTTTTTTCTGATAACCCGGTTAATACGGACACTATGGCGTGTTCCCTTGGTGTCCGGATAATTTAAATTACACTTCACTGTTTGTCTTTAGATTCGTTTCACATTTGGCCTGGCTTTTCGAAGATCTGCCGTGTACTGCGATTCAAATACCATCAGCACAGGTAGTCTTCTTGCTTCCGGAGATTCATGGACAGCGGAGTGTGTTAACTATGCTGGCTACAGTTCACAATGCAATTCAGTTAACATAGGAAGCACTGGTTTTCGCTGCACTGACTATAGTAGCAGCGAGGATTGGTCACTGGGTGAAAACAACTTTACGCACACCTTCTCATCGATCCACGACGAATGGATTGTAAGGCAAGTTTGCACTTAAAATCTTATATAAGATAAAAATTACGACAAAATGTTATTAAACAAAAGCATTAATGTTAAAAGACTTCTAACAATATATCACGATGCGATTAATTCTTTATTTTTTGTTAACAGCTACAGAAGTTGCTGTTGGATATCTTTATTCCGGTATGGTGGCAGTTGGCGATGGCTCGTATCAACGACCGTAAACCTTACCAGACGGTTAGATAATGGGAGAATTAACTCGTCTCCTGTATCAAGAAGCCCCGCTATTGTCAGGTGGTCTGAAGGCTGTCCCAGTCAGTCTCTACGGATCCCAGTAGAAGACGCCGACGGAGATGTGGTAAAATGCCGCTATGCAAAGTACTCCGAGTCCTACTTTTACCAAGATAGTTTTCCTTATGGCACATTAGATGAGGTAATCAATAATTTTTGTGTTATAGTGTGTATGTAGTTTCCACATGACTCTAGTAACGTTCAAAGCGTTGGATAGTGCTGTTTATCGGATAAATCCCAATCCTTCGGATAAGTATTGGGTAAACTGACCAGTAACGTTATCCACGATATCATCCTTTTGAGCAACTGAGGCCTCAAGCTATTTGTTGTCATATGTCAAGATACCAGAAGGCCGAATTCTGACCCAAAATTCGTAGATCAAATTAAACACTAAGTATCTTTATATAGTGCAACAAGTGTTATTGCAAAGTGCGACAGCTTATATTATTACAAAATGCGACGGTCTGATCACAAAGTGCAACAGCTTTTTATTATAAAGTGCAAAGTGTTATTACAAAGAGCGATAGGTATTACAAAGCGCGACAATTTTATTACAAAGTGCGACGATTACTACAAAGTGCGACAGAACAGCCCCTGTCCCTTTTTGCTGTTCTCACCAGAGAGAGTAACATTATACTCCATCTACCAATCTTCATATTTTGATTTACCCTTATTGAAATTCAAGTGGGCTTCATCTTAATTTTTGCCCTTTGGCAGAAAACGTGTTTGCTGACGTATAATGGCAACAATGGAACGGCTGGTACTTACGCTGTAGCTCTGACCTTAGAGGACTTTCCAGCGGGAACTACAGATTTCGTCAGCGTTTCTCCATTCAGTGCTGTGGGGCTGCAGTTTCTTGTCATAATAAGCAGCCATTCGGGTTCTTGTAACAATGTTCCTGTATTTACGCCTTTAACTCCTAACGATGGAGAATGCACCGAAGTGCAGATTGGTTCATTGTACAGAGCTGTCATTGAAGTTACAGTTGCAGACTTTTCAAAAAGGTCACCCTATTTTACTATTTTATTTTATTTGGATAAATAATTAAAATGATGGTCTGTGTTAAAAACTCCTCGGGTCCATAAATCAAACCCGTCTTGCCGGTGAAGCAATTAAAGATTTTGTACCCCTCTAAACACAGGGTCCAGAGGAGTTTCGTGTGAATAAATGAATCACTTATTTTAAGTCTCACCCTGAAAAATGTCTATATCTGTCGCTTAGCACGATTAATTAGCCCAAATTAATGGAATCTTTATGAATCTACTGTAAACGATTTCTTCGCTTCTTATCTGACCCAGATCGACTTTGTTGTTAGCCATTTTGAAAATCAATAACCGCAAGCCATATCCTCGCTGGCGCACGGCACGTCGCCCGAAGGGTGACCCAAGGCCGTCACCAGAAGGGCGACCGAGGCACGAAGTACTGTAAGCCGATCTTGCGAGCCCTCAGTTTCTTGGTTTGTGGTCTATAGAATGTGTAACGAAACTGTAACGCGATCAAAATAACCCATTTTTTCAGAGGTTTTCGCCGGGTTTTGATGTTCTAACGACAAACACATCTCCTCTGGACCCTGTGCTCTAAGTTACAAAGAAGCCAGTCTTAAGGTATCAGCCACCCTTCAGGACCGTCCGCGCGCGGATCACTGTAGCGTTAGTTGTTTTTATAAAAACCCCTATAAACCATATATTTTTTAAAAGCTTAATAATTCCAGATTATGGATTTGAACTAACAAAAACGATTTACTTAAATGTGTTTCGAAATTGGAACGCTTTGTGTAAAAGTACACATCTCTATAAATCATGTTCCACTCCCGCCGGAAATAAACGGAAGAAAACAATTAACACCGCATTCGCTTCTCAACACGTTCCACTAAAAAACCGTGTCTCAGATTTTTGACAAGTGCGTTTGTTTTTCTTTTATTAGCAAATGAAGTTGGGGAAGGCAATTAGTCAACACTCCCTGTGGAAAAAAAGCTCTAGCTTTAAAATGAAAGGGAGTATTAAAATTCGCAGACACAGTTTTTTAGAAGAGATATATGGCATCACTCTGGCCAAATTTTAGCCAAATTGATCGAAAGGCTGCCGACTTGGAGTTAAAAACGTACGAGTCGATCGGCAAAATTTGCGTTCGGAGATAAAATAGAAAATACATTTTTGGCGGCATCCTACCTGGAATGAGATTATAACACCTAAATGTTTATTCTGATTGATATCAGAGAGGGATCAATTTTCTCTAACAATAGGACTTTGACAGGTAACATGTAACAGGAACAAACTTTCGCGGCAAGCAAGTGAACAGTTTAATTCTCCGTTGGAAAACTTCCACTCTTTTACACCACGAGAAGCACGGTTTAATTCTTTCTCGAGCAAAAGTTTTGCCTCTCCTTCGATCTTTTTTGTATGATCCGCCCAGGCATTTTTGTTGATCGGCGCCAGGCCAAGGAAACTAAAAAACTTTGAAGCCGCCGAATGTCCACCACCGATTGCTCGAAGGCCAAGAACTGAGGCCCGGTTTATTTCAAACGCTCTGCTCTTCTCGGAAGAATTAAAAACAGAATTTGTCTTGTGCGACGGACAGCTTTCATTCTCGCACTGGATTCTCCAGGTAGAACCAAGTCCATGCTTAGTTGCTACATTTTCCATGACTTGGACTCTTCCCCGGCAAAATCGACAAGATACAGACTCGTCCAGTTTCTCAAGCAGCTGTTCGCTCGATACGATAGCTCGACCGCTTATTGTTTTCCACGTTCCATCAGCAGATGGGGTCGATGAGCTTAATTGGCTTTCTTCATCTGGTTCTTCAAGCTGGATTTTGGAGCAGCTTGCACTCTCAGTAACTGCAGCATTTTCGCTTTTCTGAATATCCAACTCCTCGAGCCACTTCTCTTGCTGAAAAAATGAGCCCTTAACGCTCTCTGCGAATTTTGCGGCCCATTCTTTGTCAAACTCGCTCTTCGATTTCTTTTTCGCTCTCGGTTTCGATGACGAAAACAGACACGACCTTTTCTTTTTTTGGCGGCATTTTTACCGAAGCAAACGCTAAATATCCACGGAGAAAAATACTAAAGGCTATAAACAACCCGAAGACAATTTGCACGTGTTGTGTCGAAGTACACACTCAATCAGTATCACGTTACTAGTTCACAGGCACGGGTATGACAGATCTTGTCAACGATCAATAAAGATAATTAACGAGAAAAAATCTTTTACCCCCGATATCTTTCGACAGAAATAATATTTTCTTCTGATTTTTTTTTTAAAAGAAAGCTCTCAAGCATACCTATTTGAAAACGTTGAAACCTCAAATACGGAAAAATGGCAATTTTAAGGGTGGCTGATACCTTAATGTAGTCACACTTGGCTTTTGTTATTTTTAATTATTACATTAGATTCGCCAATTCTTGACAGAGTCACCACAATTCAGTCACTGCGCGGAACCAGTAACAGTCCCTCCCCTACTCTTTACGAACAGTGTGTGGGTTCATTAACGTCCTACAGAATTTATGTAGGCAAGGGTTGGGAGACGGGGCCTTAACGGTTTGTCGCCCTTATCAGAGAAGACTAGGAAGACCGGGATTTGAGCCAGCAGCCTCCCGCTCGACAGACCGTGCGCTTATCTAACTGAGCAAACTGGGCGATAACTACCAACGTTCAAATGATTATAGTACTAGCCGTCTGTGGGCCTGAAGATCTCCTAAACTGATGCAGATCTATATAAACTAATTAAAATATAAAAAAGATTGTCGTTCAGGTTATCGCTATCAGAAACTAATCAACACTGTAAAGATCGAAAAACGCGTTGCTATAAATCCTTAACTTGTATTTCATTTTGAAATTTCAGCATCGTGGAGATAGTGACTTCATCTCCGCTTGGAATGCAATTTACTTCTTTAAGTTTCCATGGAGGAGTTTATTACAGAAATGTCACGTGGTACCCCAGCCAAAACCAAGTAGGACAGCAATCGTTTTGTTTCAAAGCAGTTGACTCTTCGGGGTGAGATGGCGAAAAAATAGTTTCTTGACTGATATAGGACGAATAGTTAATAGAATACATGTAGAATAATATTACTGAGGTATTTGCGCGAGATTTCGCAGAAAAGTTATTTAGTGTATTTCGCCGTATATCAATGCACAAAACTATATTTAAAATTGAAGGCATTTAAATGAGCTGTTAGAACTGATATTTTGTCCTCGGAACATGACATAATTATTATGATATATGAATAAGATTCTAAATTTCAGGCCTTGGATGAAATTCGGAAATCCCTAAGAAAATTCCATACGAATTGGAACGAATCAATTTCGTCTAATAAAATGAGCACTTTAGCATTACTGGTTGTACAGTTTATGATCTTCTTTGTGAAGATCATCTTAATTTAAGGCTCATACTCTGGCGTGCCACATTTTGTTTATAACATTTAGCTTAAACATTCAGTTCGCTCTACAGAAACGTTTTTGCCTTGTTAAGGGTGTTAAAAGGTAACAACTCAAGGTTCATCTCATGATCGGCAACGCAATTAATATCGACTACGTTTCTGATGTTTCGGTTTGGCCCAGTTTTTGTACTTTTCTGACTCAATAAGTTGGTGGGGCATAGTCCTGTAATAGGAGTGTGGTTGACAGTAGCTCACGTTTCGACGATCATGCTCCACCTACTTATGAAATGACTCGTGGGTTCAAACCTTTCACAATTAATGTTGTAAACGTTGCACAATCAGGATATAATTATTACATTAAGAAATGCATATTCTTTTTTCCCTTTTTCTCGTAGCATGGGAACTGAATGGCGCTGCCTAACCATTCTCGTGGGAATAAGTAAGTAACCGTAAAAGCAAATCGAACCTGAAAAACCATGGTACAAAAGCAGGAGCAATGCTAAAAGATTGCTTATCGTGAGGTTCTCTTTTAGACGCGGTCCATTAATGACCAGCACAAAATGGTGTTGAGTTCGCACATTGAGTGCCCGGTATGGAACTGTGTAGATGGTCACTCCATTTAGCCTTTTCAGACGCCATTTTGAAACAAGCTTAGCAGTGAGTACATCTAGCACAAAACAGTGGACTGCCCAGAACTAACAAAAACTGTGTACAGACGGTGTCTACTTTTGTACCCGAGGACAAGATCTTGACCTCGGTCACTTGTAAAATGTCCGAATTCTAGCGGGGTACTTGAAAAAAGGGCATGTTTATATTTAGGGACTTGTCAGAAATTAGCAGGGGGGGAGGGGGAGTGGAAATTCAGGGAGGGTCACAACTTTTTGAGACTCAGAAAAGGGAGGGGGTCATGAAAAATGGGCCATTAAAAGGGGGAGGGTCATGCAAATATATGCCCGTGATCATGTAGAGGTTCACCCACAGAAGAAAAAGGAAGTTCTTTATTTGGTAAAAAAAAAAAAAAAAAGAACAACGGAACATTATGGATATAAACTGTGAAGTACTATTGCAAGAATTTAACAAACATCTACTTTTCATTTATAACAATGCTATAGAGTCTTACTGCATTTTTATTATGAATAATGTTGTTACTAATGTCATTAGAGTTTTGACTATCCTTTTCATCACTGTCTTCAGCATCACCAACAATGCTGGTGTGAGCATCTTGATCATCATCATTTATGTCATCAGCATTGATGCAATCACTTTCATCATCATCATGATTTTCATTTAAGTTGAAGCGTAGATATTGCTTGATAATTTCCTGTGATTCATTGGTGAACAATCCCTTCTCAAAGGCATATTGGATATATGGCCTTTATGTTTTGAGGAGCCCACTTATTCCTTCATAATGAAGAGATAATGGACCAATAGGCTCTGTAACATCATGCGACTCTTACTGAGGTGCAATGGTTTCAATAACTCTTTTGCAGTTAACCTCCATTTTTTTTGCCCTAGCTTTTTTTGCTTTCCTTTTATTTTGTTTTTGTTTCCTTTTTTTCTTGTTGGCTTGGAATACTGCACCTTAAAGAGCCTTCAATTTTGTGAGGTGGGGAGGGTCATGATATTTTAGGCCAAGCTCAAGGGGAGGGTTAGCAAATTTCACTCCCATTGCAGGGATGGGTCACCTAATTTCCAAACCCAAATTTAAAACTCCCCCCCCCCTAGCCTCCTTCCCTCCCCTGCTAATTTCTGACAAGTCCCTTTAGAGCCCAGCCAGTACCGTTGGCACTGCGCGCGGGCACTAATTGTGAACGCTGCTTCAGATAACGCAAATGTTATCTAACGGCTGAATAGATGGCGATGGTGAAGAACGTCTAGAATTGTGTTTTACACATAGCATTAATTTGCTGAGATTTTTTTTATTGCTATTGCTGACGCACAAATTTTGTTGAGTATATATCGCTATTATTTCAAAAAAAAGTTGAATTATTTTTTAATTGTAGGTAGTACACCTCGAGTCATTTGGGGAAGCCAGACTCCACAAAGTCCCCTCAGTAACAGCGGGCCGGGTTACATATGGTGGAGTATACAGTTTGATCGTGTGGTAAGTACGTACAGTATTCTGATTAACGTTCTAAATCGTTGCTTAAAATTAGCTTGGCATAGTCCTCCTACTTTATTTGACAAGCATCGGCATCCTCATCATTTCATAAATAAAATGTGTAAAGCAGAATATTGGTCAAGTTTTAGACCATAAATATGAGCAAACTTGACTAGTGTGGTAAGTAAAGGGATTATTATGTACAAAAAACGCCCCTTTCAGAAAAAAAATCGAGCGATTGCGAATGAGTGTCTCGCCCGCTCGTATAGCCAGTTCAAAAACAGATTCTCATAATCTTTCCTGCTCACATAACAAAGCTAGCTGTTAACGTATATTTTTGGTTAAAAATACAGATAAAGAAGCCTCGCACTTCTTCCTTCATCCGGCTGGTTCTTCTTCCCAGTGGTCACACAGTTCATAAAGTGGACACACTCTCTCAGTTTGTCATAATCAACAGTGATCTTACCACCCTGCAGTTTCCAATGCCTTATGCTGCATTAGGTATGAACGGCTCGTACGCCATTTTGATGGATCGTGGAGCAGTAGTTGGACAAGGTTGTTCGTACGATGGACCACCTACACCAGGAATAACTAACACAAGTGACTGGCAGTTTACTGCTGGTTTTTGTCCTGTCGGATATACCCTTGCTCCACCAGATTTTTCCAACTGTGTTGGTATGTATAGTTAGCTATTTTCCCGATCGCACCTGATTATTTATATAAAATATTTCTACGTTTCTTATTGGCTCAAATTCTCCGGCTAATTCTCCTTTTGCAATATCCGGTAAAATGACGTCAAAAGTACAGGCTTTCGCCAGAAAAAGGTATAGCAGCCTAGAACCTCTGGGTAAGGGGTTGTGGAAGCTGTTTCTGGGGAAAGTTTGCAGAAATTTCACACGTTTAGCGAAAAACCATAGCCAACTTTCTGTCATTGAAAGAACAGCAAATTAATACAACTCAACGGATAAGCCACTAGTTGCTATTTGAAGAATGCCTGTCATATTAAACTTGCCTTAATCATTTTGAAGTTTTCGAGGAAGAGACGTGAGACGAGAACTTAACATCGATCGCGGTAAGCATGTTTTCGAGTAAGAATAATTAAACGATTAATGCTAAAATTTGTTTGAAAAAAAATTGGACAGATATAACCTTAGGGAAAGGCATCCCTCTCTTTTCCTCTTTCGAGAAATCCCCGCTAACCAAGCTGGAAAATATCCATGTATTCATCAAGTTAACTCCGTGGTCAGTCCGATCAGGCGAAACTAACTGGATATCGGACAGCACTGAATAACATACTACTCAGTTATCTGCACTGTATCCAATCACTCTGGCGCCAGCTTTTTGTATTAGCTGATCATAACCGAGACCTCTGTTATCTCGGTAAGCAGAAGAAAATTCTTAAGTGGCCTCAATCAACTTCCTTGGGCCAATGTTGATTTGTATTCTGATCCAAATGAAATGTGGCGTGTATAGAAAGAAATGTTTCTTGGCTGCGTCAATAAACACGCACCACTCAAATCGAAACGAATTCGAAAACTGACGATCTCCACGGATTACTAGAGAGTCACTGTGTAAAATCCGAAAACGAGATTTCCTTACAATCTCCTCCAATAACCCGGCTATATGGAATCAATTTAGGTGTGCAAGAAACCAGGCAAATAACGCAATTAAACTCGCAGAGAAACTCTTAGACTATCTTTCTGACAACCTCAGTGGAAGTTAACAAAGGTAATTTGCGCAAAACATGGAATATTATCAACGAGATAACTTCACGTAACAGAGGTTAGTCGACGAATATTTTGGAGATCAAGGTACATAATAAAATAGTAAATGGACATTGCGGAAACTGTTAACGATCACTTTACAAATGTGCGTTGCTCAAGTATTAGCACAAGATATTCCTGTTTTCGATGTTAATTCTGAGTCTTATTTAGAGCCCACTGATCATTCGTTTTCTCTGCAAATTCCGAGTGTTGATATTGTTTTCAACATTTTGCTGAAAATTGATGAAAAGAAAGCCACAGGTCTTCATATGATTCTGAGTAAATTGTTGAAAATGGCTGCTAGTATCGTTGCACCCTCTCTTACCTCGATATTCTCGTGAAAGCCTCACGGGGATATATCCAAACGATTGGAAAACGGCCAAAGTAACTCCACTTTATAAAAATGGCATTAAATTGGATCCTTACAATTATAGGCCAATCCCTATAATCCCTATAATTTCGAAAGTTTTTGGAGGAATTGTTTACAATCAACTTTTCCATTATATAGATGATAACAAATTGCTACTACGTTGCCAATCAGTATTTCGTTGACTTCTCTGCATACTACACTCACGGCTTTGCTTGAGGCAACAAATGCTTGGTCAGTAAACATCACCAATGGCCTTCTAAATGGTGTTATCTTTATTGACCTTACTAAGGCATTCGACACCATTGATCAAGAGATCATCTTGCGTAATTATAGGATGTCATACTTGTGTGTCGATCAGGCAGCTATAAAGTGGTTCTCGTCGTACTTAAGTGGCCGAACCCAAAGATGTAATGTCAGTGGCAAACGATCAACTGCTCGTATCCTCAGTTGCGACCTGCTGCAGGGTGGCAAATTGGGTCCTTTGCTATTTTTAATTTACATTGATGATCTTCCCAACTCCCTAAGGGGCTCCGTACCAAGAGTGTTTCCCGACGACACCAATCTTACGTTATCTGCTAAGACGTTAACAGAGCTTAAGCTAGCTCTAACCCCTGAATTAAATAACCATAGCTGTTGGCTGAAAGCTAACAAGCTCAGTCTAAATGTTGCTAAAAAAGAGCTAATGATTATTGGATCAAGACAAAGACTATCTGCCCAATGTAATGATGTAGAAATCAGAATTGTTGACCAAATTATCAAGAGAGTTGATCATACCAAATCCTTGGGTCTTACCATAGATGCTCAACTCTCTTGGGGTAAACACGTTGAAGAGATTTGCAAGAAAGTCTCTTCAGCTATAGGCGCCCTAAAACGTGTGCGGCCCTTTACGTCCAAAAAAAACTGCAATTCAAATTTATAACGCTTTTTTGATTACTGCAACCCCGTCTGGGACTGTTTGAGTGGTTACTTCTGATAAGCTCGAAAAATTACAGAATCGTGGAGCCAGAGTAATTACTAAATCCCCCTCTGATACGAGCTCAAACCACCTTCTCTCCACCCTCAACTGGGAGAGGGTTTCTCTTCGACGAAAGAAACAAAAAGCCTTAATGATGTATAAAACCATGAATGACCTTGCTCCTAAATATCTGCAAGTCTTTTCTTTCAGCATCACTCTGCTTACAACTTATTAGTCTCGCTTGCATAAGCAGCGAGACTCATAATCTGCAACGCGTTTTTCGCCCCGGGGGGTAGTCCTTTATATAGGCTATGTAGGTATGCGCCGCGCCAAAACTTTTTTTTTTTTTTAGCCGTTTTGGTTGAAAATAGGGTATCAATTTCGACCATTTTGGTCTGAAACAGGGTATGGTTTGTGCCTTCTAGTCTTGAATTGGGTATGTTTTTTAGAAGAATTAGCTACTTCTTCATCATTTGGCGATAAGACCATTTCCCTTTTAATGTTTACGCCAACTACCGTGTACGTGCCGTAACAGCTTGTCATGCGCTCCGGTCACGCGCCGGGCTCCAGGGCTTCAGGTCTGAAATAGGGTATCAAATTTTTGATCAGGTCTGAAATAGGGAAGGGAAAATCACAGATTTTGGTCTGAAATAGGGTAAGGTGAGGGTTTCAGGAAGCGTGCTGCACACCCCACCCAATTTTTCTGGAAGTACCCCCCCCCGGAATTTTTGGTCCGTTTTGGGAGTCACAAAACGCAGGGAAGGGAACACTACTGAGTGGTCGAAAAAAAAAATAAGAATCTTAATTAGCAAAATTGTGATGATCGGGTGTTGTAAACGTTCACTGTATGCAACTGAGTCTTGTGATGAGCATGCGATTTATTTTCGGTAAGGATTGAAATGACTTGCCATGTAAATCACTTTTTCGATATCTGGCAATGATGTAATTCCTCTGGTGTCGAGGCCCTTGAAAATTCGTGTATTTATACACGCGTATAGCCCGCTACCGGAGAGGTATTTTTGGTCGTTGCTAACACGCGTACTAAATCAATTCAGCAACAAATAACAAGTATCGACGTCGATAAAATAGGAAGTAAAAAACCTTTAGCGAGTAAATCTCGATAAATCAGTCTCCCCAATTAGTAAGGCACTGTGCCTGAGCTATAAGACATGAGACTAACTGCTATAAAGTCAAAAAATGATCATGCTTATAAAATCGCTTATTTGAGATGTATTTCCTAACCTGAACTCAAATTCCAAAAATGAAGCATTTTCGTTGAATATAAGCCGAGAAAACGAAGGCCAAAGTTGGTATCTATCAGCGCTTTTTTGGAAATATTTATAATCACAGGGCTTCAACTGTTAGTGTAGTATTGAACTCGGCAAAGCGCGATACAAACAGATTTTTCAAGGTTCTCTTACTCTCCTCGCATCTTTTGATTTCGCGACATCCTGTCCGAAAATCAAAGTTTGGTGCCTGCGCAGTAACGGGATACTGTTCCTTTAAGTAATCAGCCTCTAAGTAATGGAAGAGTGTAAGACCTTTTTTTTTTATTTTCAGACATAAACGAGTGTGGGTCTCCTTCGAGATCAAGACGTAGTTTTTATTATAATTGGTGGAGTGTTACTATGTCCTCGTCAACACAGTGGCTTACTACCGGTGGGTTAATCGGGGTGAAACTCTCCTTACAATAGCTGTATGTATTGTAAAATAAAGTGTGACGCTGAGATATTCTCTTCACATTACTGACTACAAGAGTGCTATAAAAAGACAGGCACTGCGTCTTAACATGCAAATCGCTACCTCAAAATCACATAACTGCAGGAAATTAAAGTCGCGTGAGTCTAGTGAAAAAGCCTGGGAAAACAGCCAACACTTCGCGACGCCACCACTGGTTTCCCCGCGAAACTCCATACAGATCACACGTCATTACCCAGAACTGCGTAGTGCTTCTGATTGGTCGTGCTGCGTGGGAAATTTGCTTTAACCAATCAGAAGCACTACCCAGATCTGGGTAGTGACGAGTCATCAGTATGGAGTTTCTGAGCTCGCTTCTCAGACGTCATTTCGCGGGGAAACCAGTGGTGGTGTCGTGAAATGTAGGCTGTTTTCTCAGGCTAGTAAAAAAGGTCTCACTAAATTTAATGATTTCAATAATAAGATCGTAAAACTAAGAAGACATTATGCAGATACAAAGAGTCAGTCAGTGATTTAATTTCATTCCTTTTGCAGAAATATCTCCTTCGACAAGTCCTTCCTATGTACCATTCACGGCTTCTTTTCCTGGTAAGAAAAAATGCCCTGAATTAAATTTACCTGATCAATTAAATATACCTGATCATGCGTTATACTAGAATGTAAAACAGTCCCTATTTTTGCGTATTTAAGTACGCGCGATCAGTCTGAAACAAATGGTCCCCGTGCTAAACCGATTTTGAGAAAAAACCCAATGTTTTGCAGTCTAGCGTACGCGTTATACGCGGTGCTCAACAGGGAAAAACTGCTAGTTCCGATGCTAGTTATCTTGCTTCTTCTCCAGATAAAGGAGAATTGATGCGATGTAAGATATTTTTGAAAGTAAAATACTTTAACAATTCATTGCGGTATTTCATAACAACTGATGCAACATGATTTCAGTAACGTTAAAACATATTTTTACATGAATCCTCCTAATAGTATCCTAAAGCCATTACATTAAGACTTTTCTGGCTTTTTTTTCCCCATAGGATCTTGTTCAAGCCATATTTTCAACTATTACGGTAGCAGCGGCAATCTTTATAGTCCCGGCTATCCTGGCCGTTATACAAATAATCTGATGTGCACATGGTTGATTGAAGCTCCTTTTGGGTACCACGTATACTTGTCTATCTCGTGTTTTAGCCTGGAATATGGCGGGAGCAACTGTCCTTTTGACTTCTTAGAGATACGTGACGGCAATACACTTTCAAGCCCCTTGATAACGAAGGCCTGTGGCGCTCTGGGATATTTGTACATCTATAGCAGTGGCAGATTTCTTCTTCTACGGTTCCGTACGGATGGAAATGTTCAAGGGGCTGGCTTCGCAGCTTATTACAGTACTGTGAGCTATCGTAAGGGATACATTTACTCATTTGATTTTTTAATTCTTCTTATAGATCGATTTTCGTCTGACCTTGAAATGAAAAACAAAAAAAGCAAACAAACGGAAATAGAGCGATTTGATTGGTTTATCGAACGGATACAAAAGCGCGTGGCTTTTGGTTGGTTAACGCTCGGGAGAGAAAAAATTCATGCCCGAGAACTTTCTAGAAATCAATCGATACTTAGCTTTGACGTCATACTGCAACACTATTGATTGACCAATCGAACTATCCCTTTTCCGAAACAAAGAGTCTATGTTTTCATCTTTTCATCCATTGGCTGATAAAACAAATAACGAGCGCTTAACGAAACCACTGTTCAATGTCATACGAAAATCGCTCTTCTATTATCATGTGGTACGTATGACATGAAAAATGTAAGATATAAATAGAAAGAAGTTTCTATTGTTGGATTTCCTTCCTTGAAAAAATTTTCTTTTTCGCGAAAACTCGTTCTCCCAATCAGTTCTTTATCTTTTTTTAGAGTGTTTGCGAGCCATATAATCCGGCCATGGTGTTTTTCAATTTTCTTTCTTTGAAGACACGAGACCTATTGACCACTCCAGAAAATAGCATAACATACCCTAATGCTCTTTTTTTGTCACCCCAACTGAATTTTGCATAAGCATTGTTTTCAGTTTCTCTTGGGGGCATTTTAACACCCAAGAGAAACTGAAGACAATGCTTATGCAAAATTTTGGGGTGACAAACAAAGAGCATTATGGTATGTTATGGAATTTTCTGGAGTGGTCAATTCGGCTAACTCAATGTTGTACCAGCTCCTGGTTGTACCCAATTCAAATCTCCCGGGGTTAAGCTTCTTTGTGTATTGTATTTGCATTATAATGTGGCATTCGCATTTAAATGATATGGAAATTCCTGAAACAAAACGTTTTATTCCCAAAGGGTTTGAATTGGGTGCAACATTGAGTTAGCCGAATAGGTCTATGGTGAAGAGCTGTAGAGTTAAAACGGCGTCCCTCAGATGAATAAAGGGCTAAGAAGAAGTTGCATGTGCTGTTACGACGGTAGGGGAATGAAGTGAAATACAAAGATTTGGTTTTATCCAACTGACTTGTTGAGGGTGATTTGCCACCTTCGGCGATCAATCTAGTAGAGAACCAAATCTTTTAATCAAACACATTTGGACATTCTGCTAAAAACAAAGTATTTTGGGTACTGATTCAGTGTTACTAAAAATGCGGCTCTCAAAACAAGACTGTGGCCTAAAGTATCCGCGATCTATTTGAATTTTTTGGCTCGCCTTCTTTTTATGTTTTATTTTTATTTTCCGCCGTGCGAATCTTACAGCTATATTTGAGGATGCCTAAGAAAAGTTGCCGATTAAGCTAACCTTACCTACACTTATTTGTGAGAGTCTGATCATGTTATTTAATATTTATGCGACAGGGGGCAGTAACTGGATACCTTCGCATCAAGTCTCAAGTGCTAGTTTTGTAGCCTGTGTGCCATCTCAGACTCTAGTAACACGGATTTCAACCACACTGCGTGTGCGTAAGTAAATTCCTAATCAATAAATCTTTTAAATCGTTTTGTTTTTATGTTACTAGCTCAGAAATAATAAATGTGTTCGTAATACTGAAATCACCGCACTGCAAATTTATTATTGGCGTAAATTTTTTTTTTAAGTTAAATGCTTCAAAAAGGTTGCGCTCAATTTCTGCATGTTTACTTCGCACAGTTTCGCTCGCGTCTTATCGAATAGTTGGAATAAATGATGTTACGCATTTGTTTTATATTTTTCTTCGGCAAATTCTTATTTTTCTGCAATAACTCCAACGACAAGTTCTTCTTACATTCCATCCACTATTCCTGATTTGATACGCTCTTTCTAGATATTTCAGGATAATAGAAAAAGTTGATGCAACCACCCTTGAAGATATTTTTGTCAAGTGAGCTTCAAGTGCTTTCCTTCGTCTCCCGTCTGACAGTAGTCTCCTTCGCAGCCGTTATTAGGGTCGTCACTCGTCACGCAACGCTCCTCCCCACTAAGTTAGTGGGGAGGAGCGTTGCGTGACGAGTGACGACCCTAATAACGGCTGCGAAGGAGACTAGTCTGACAGCGGTGAATAAACAGCCTGATACTCACGCCCGATAGTTTAGCTGTGATCTTGACTAATTCCGTGAGCTATGGAACTGAGGTCCGGGATATAATAGGTTTCTACCCGTTCGAAAAATGCCAAGACAAAATTTTTGCTAGGAAAGATATAGATATTCTTTTCCAGTTGTGGTGACGGGACACATCTATGTTTATAAAATAACTACGGATAGTACGTGCGCTCTGATTGACCGAGAGGCGTGTTTGCAGCAGCATATATAACTACAGTTGTGACATCAAGTTGTTCTGCTCAGTGCACGCACTATTCACGCAGGCGTGCTCAAGAAACCTCGACAAGTTAGTTACTTTATTTACCCAGTTCCTCGTCGGCTGAAATGTAAAAAATCCTTACAAACATGCTGTGTCAATTTGGTTTTGCTTAAGCTAACATTTAAATCCAGAATTATCCGCATTTTGGAAAGTATGACCTTTTTTTCCGAACTAAAAACTGATGGCGCGTACAAAACTTTGTGTACAACACTACGTGACTGGTAGGAATGTCTCTTTTAATCAGTTTCTTAGACAAGAAGGGCTGCTTTTTTTCTCGGGAAAGTTATTTTACCAGAAAAGTTAGCACTGTTATCTTTATTGGAGGAGACTAACAAAATCCCGCAGTTACGAATTAGAATTGCCGTTGCTCAGAACGCCCCAATCATCTTCAGAACGTTCATTAAATTTGCCTCGCTATGAGTTTGTTACAGTTAGATACGTCGCTTACTTCCACAAAACACAAAGTAATGACCAGAATTAGAAGGCTTGGGCTGAGCAAATCAACTGACATCACATGGCGTCATCAGCCTTTCTTTGATCCTTTACTCGTTTCCAAAGGGAAAAAAGGCAACTTTGGACGGTCAATTCAATCCACACGCACATGGGAGGTTATAGAAGGGATCAGGGATTTGACAATGGTCCTTCCGGTTATTACCAATGCGACGATGCTCAAACAAGATGCGCACAAGCAATTAGCCGGGCAATCGTCCCTAAGGGTAACAGGCAAGGATATTGAAGTATCGTAGGGCAGGCGGCTCATACGGCGGGCCACAAGCTTTCACTCTATGAACACTGAGAGCATGGCGGACGCGTACGGTGGTAACTACGGTAAAACTAGACTGTTGATCTAAAAGATGTCATAAATTCACTGCTAATTTTGCGCTAGATTTAGGATCATAATATTAATTGTCACAATTTCTGTTGGCATAATTTTTTAATTATTATGATTTTAAATCTCAAATCTTCAAGAATGAAACATTAGCGCGCTGCTAGTTGAGAGACAATATAAACCGCGAGTACTGACCACGTTATCTAAAACAAATTCCACAGCTTCAACAAGAAGAATCAGCCCTGGTTACACAGCTTCATCTACTGCGTCACCAAGTCTATCGCCATCAGTGAGTGCCAGTGCATCTGTTTCAACAAGCACTTCACCGTCAGTCAGTGCAAGCGTGCCAGTTTCACCAGGTGGGTCTGGAGTGTTGAACACCTCACCTTCCGTGAGCTCGTTTAATTGAGCGAGTTTGATACTTGATGCCATTTGCATAAGTGTTTAAATTGGAGATGAGGTCATGTAGTTCAGGGTGGGAGGGGAGTGAAGAGCATAAGGATTCTATCCTTTTAGATTCTACCTAAGGTTTTTCTCATATTTTCAAACGATTTTGAGACAAAACCTCCTATTCTTAGTACCCGTCATTTTAATGCTAGACGTATTTTATGATCATGTAAAGTTGATATATCTGAACTGTAGGAGAAGCAGTCTAGAGAGAAAAAAAAATCTAATGAGAGATGGGCAAAGATACACGGAATATGGAAATTTCGAAAAGGGCAAACACAAATGAATAACTTAATGAGCGAGGAGGTGCGAAAATCTATTTAGTTCAGTGCAGCTTACCTCAAGCTCAAGTGTTCTACATCTCTTCGAGAAATAAATTCATCCTTGTTCTACATCTCTTCGAGAAATAAATTCATCCTTGTAAAAACAACAAATCTCTCGCTTTCTCCTTTTACGCCCAGCTGTACTCCAATTTCTAGCGCCACAATTATTCCGATCTCCCCCTGATCCAGCCTGACAACGAAAACAACTACGCCGGGCCAAAGTTTCCACATGGCGACTCGGCATGTCGAGAACAGCAGCAAACCATGTTGAAGAGCATTTTGACGATCTCTCCGATGATAGAATACCCTTAAATTTGAAATAAATATTCAATAAAGAAAAAATGCAGATTTTTGACGAAGAAATTGACGAGATTTTTTCGGGTAAAAGACAAATTTCCTAACATCTCAAGTGTCACATCTAAGATGTCATAAATTCGTTGACAAATTTCACGCCAAGGCTCATGATATTCACGCTATTTAAAAAAAATTCCACAGCCTCAACAAGAACAATCAGTCCAAGTTACACAGCTTCATCTCGTGCGTCGCCAAGTTTATCGCCATCAGTGAGTGCCAGTGCATCCGTCTCTCCAAGCACTTCACCGTCGGTCAGGGCAAGCTTGTCAGTTTTATCAGGTGAGTCTGAGGAGTTAGACACCTCGCGTTCTGTGAAAGCTTCTCGACAGTTATGCAAACCCTCGACTTCGTCTCGGGTTTGCATAACTGTCTCGAATTCTCCCAACCCCTCTCGTGTTTATATCAGGCTATGCAAACACGGAAAACGTCTTGTTTTCTATTGCTTAATTATAACTAGGGGTAATCATATATTAAAGAGTGCGTTCGATATGCGAAGTGAGTTATTCCCGGGCAGACCATAGATTTTTACAGGCTTCTATGAGTTAGTGTCCAGGGAGAAAGAAAAGGTGATGATGATGGCAATAATTAACATATTGTTAAAAAGCAATTTTATTGTAAAAAGGATGATGTAGAACAATATGTATTGCATAATTATATTGCGCATCAGTTAACAACAGAATGAAGTTCGTTGTTAGTTGACCCAAGTGTTAGTTTCTTCAGCTGCAGGATTTAGATTTATTGGCAATAATCGGATAATTTCATTTGTAATAATAAACTATAAGAAGATTTTTAGTCATGCAGCAACGAAAAAAAAAACGCGACAGAAAAGCGTGCATCGTGCATATTCAGAGTAATGTTTTGCTCGTTCAAAACTTGCTTGAATTTGTTTGACTTTGCTTAAGCTCTCTACTGAAATCAATCGGAAGGATATAAGCTTCCTTTTTAGCTTTCTAAATCATTACTTAAAAAAAATAATTAAAAGTGCAGTGCTACCGGGAAGCTTCGAGCAATAATTATTTAACTTGAACAGTGCATGCGGTTTTTATGTGACTCAAAGTTGAAAGATCCACACTACAATTCATGAAACTTAATTTGTTAAAATAACTAAACGAAAGTCGAAAGTCGAGGGAACATTTCTTGTACGCCGTGTATACCAAAAATTTGCTCAATTAACGCACGTAATCGCATATGCCTGAATTCGAAATATATCCAAGTAATTTAAGGCGCCATAAAAAAACAAACAAACAAACCAAAAGTAACAGAACAAAATTCACCTATGTTCGCGTTAAAACTTGATTTTCTCGCCTTCGTTAGCACCAAGAAAACCCTTTGTCTTAAAAGGCAAACAGATCAAGAAACATTCTGAAAGTTTCCATTGTGTGTTACAAGTCACGTGGACCAACAGTCATCTCATGTGTTTTGTATCGTTCGCATCCAGGACAGCTACGTTCTTTCAAGAGGCCAGGCTATTTGGAAGTCCGTCGCGAAAAATCTCGATTTTTTCTGGCTACTAATTTAGGATGGCGTTCTGCGAACGCAATTACTTTTAATAAGTAAAAGCTTGTTTTGATTTTACTGCTTTAACCACCTTTCTAAGCACATATCAATACAATGGATTCTGAAATCTTCGTGCGCTCTGCTTGGAGTATTATAGACCAATAACAACTTAAGTCTTTGCAAAAATTTTTGCCTCAAAATTAAGTAATGATCCAGGTAAGAAGGGAAGCAATTTCTTTTGTTGTAGTGCAATACGCTTTCCTCACATAGAAATGTTTTCATTTTTACGCAGAGAATGCATAAACCTACAAAAAGGCAGTTTACGACAGAAAATGTATTTAAACTCCACTTTTAAAGGGTGTATTTTTGTGTTAAAACATTTCGACCAATCACAAGAGTTGCAAACAATGGCCAAGAAATGTTCACAATTTTACATGATCCGCACATACGATTTCTGTGTTACTTAGACTCGGACGAGAATTTGTTATAAGGAAGTGGGATAGGAAAAAAGGGATTAATATACATGCTGTTTTGCGAAGATTTCGTAAAATTTGATGTTTAAACCAATCAGAACCATAGTAGAGACAATAGTAAAGTTAGCACCTTTTTGCATTCCGACGTGTTCACTGCGTTTTGGTCCTTTCCTTCTTATCTGAACCATTACTTAAAATAGCCTCACCTGAGATATGTCAAATTTTAAATTCTTGCCACTACACATTCCTGCCATTCCTGCCTGCAAGAAATCTGCCATCCGACTTGTAAGTGTTCTAACTTACTCTTCCAAGTCAGGTAGGGCGGATCATGTTCATTGTTGTTTCAAGAGCGAGGTCTACCTCTTCTTCAGAGTCACTGACACTGTCACTCGCACTAAAGCTGTCTACCTGTTCGTTTTTAGGAGACTCTGGCATCCTCATTTGAATTAGGTGGCTCATCACTTACGCTTGGAATTCTTTGAAGCATGAAGCTTCTAATGTAAAGGAGGGTTGCAAAATAAATGAATCTCTATCCCTTTGCGATAAAACAGTACATTACAAATGAGCAAAATACTCACTCGATTTTCTCTCGATAACGTTTTACAACAGATTCACTTTATTTGAATAAGGAACTTCGGTCAGCACCTTTATCACTTACCACCATTTTTTGTCGCTTCACTGTAGGCTCAAAATACTCACTGATTATTTTCTCCGTTTGTTCACTGGTCTTTGTTGGATTACAATTATGAACTCGATGGAAGTACTTTACATGAACTTCGGCAGTTCTCTTACATTGTCAAGTTTGGGAGATTTTTCCACACGTAATACATTCAATTCTTCCGACAGCCGAGTGTCTTTTGTCTGTAACAGAACAGCAATTCTCATTAGTAGCCTTAGATGTGTTTTTGGCAAATTTCCTTTTTTGTCACTCTCAGATTCATTAGTATTATTTTTCGCACTTTCCTGTGGCGGTTGAATTTGCGATGAAGTAGACGGCTGTGGGTCGTCTGTTTTTGGCACAGACGGCGAGTTCTGTCGTAAAACGAATTGACTAGAAAAAGGTGCATGGACAATTTTCTCACGTTTCTTAACTCCAGGAAATAAGTAATGCCTCGACTAGTCATGATTCCAAAATATTTATCCCATTCCCATTTCTGACATTTTATTCCCATTCCCAGTGACCGAATCCCAGTCCCAGTTACTCCCAGGGCAAAAACCGGCCAATCCCAATTCCCATTTTACCCCTTCAGGACCCTCTTTTAGTCAAACATACATGCAGTACCCGTGATCTAAAGTCACCGTTTGAGTTAATGCTTGAGAGACATTTCCCTCACACAAACCTGTTATCTTACCATTCACAAGTAATTTGACGAGTTCCATAGATCTTCTCGACAAGATAAGATATTTTATGGGTGGTTTTTCGTAACTTTGTTTTCAGAAATATCTCCAACAAAAAGTTCTTCTTTTATGCCATTTACTATATCGAGTTCTGGTAAGTAGAAAACAATCTTGTTTGCCTTACAGTTAAATTCAAGAAGGCTTGCGCTTTCAAGTCTACTGGGCTTGAGTGAGGTTTGTTTTCCAGATGTACGCCACGTGAGTTTCTTCATCGAGGTTCCCCTGCGTATCACGTCTTAATAAAACAAAGTAGAATTCTTGAGAGTTTCTCTCAGTTTGGATTCTGCAGCTGATTCTGGATTCTGGATTCCATACCGTGGATTCCTCCAGACAATGGAACTTGGATTCTGGATTCCAATCGTTAGTGGGATCCGGATTCCTTGAGCTGTATTCCGTTTTCCAAAGCACAGGATTCTGGATTCCACAAGCAAATGTTTCTCGGGTTCCGGAATCCGCCTTACATGGGGCGATGTACTGGGCTTGAGTGTGGTTTGTTTTCCTCATGTAGGCGACGTGAGGAACTTCTTCATCGAGGTCTACCCTAATTATGCGTGCCACTTATAACAAACAAAATTTGAAAGATACCGTTGTCTTGAGTAACAGATCAGAAAGTATTAACAAACCTTCAGTTTTATGTTATTGGCATCACGCAGGGGGGAGACGGAGGGTGAAGATTAGGCTAACTCTCACTTCTCCTCCGCATGAAGACCCAAATGGTCTGAAAAAGAGTTAAAATAGCTTGACCTAATAATACTAATTAAAAGGTACTTCAATGCCTAATGTCATGACTAAGAAAACAAACAAACAGCTACTGAAGAAAGGTGGCTTTTTCTAAGCAAGAGAGGATACATTTATGAAAATTTATTGTGGCACCTCAATTGCATTTAAAATTCAGTTTTAAAAACGGAGGTGGAAGATTCCGCCAATAATTTCTTGCTGAACGTGTAAAGAAAAGAAGTGTTTCTTAATGGTGAAATGATTCAAAAACACAGATTGGGCGAGAGAAACACCAAGCTCGGACAATAATATTCTTTATATAATTCTTTCCTCTTTAGTCTTGTGTTTATTCATTCCAATTTCTCCTAGAATGCTACAGTTACGGTTACCTGAATGACTCGGTACGAGGACAAGGCTTCTACAACGGATACTATGGCTATTATCAATGCGACAGTGGCCTTCCATTTGGCTGGTATCGATTTAGTGGGGCAGCAGGATCTCAACTGGCCACTAGTTGTGTTGGTAAAAATCGCTGTAGTTCGCACGCGCCGGGATGGTTAAGTACCCCGCATCCTTCAAAGGATGATGGGATAGTCAGTGGTACAGTGTGCTTCCACTGGGCTAGTAGCTGTTGTCACTGGTCGACGAATATACGTGTTCGTAACTGTAGCGGATTTTATGTGTATGAGCTTGGACCAGTCCCGAGTTGCTGGTTACGTTACTGTGGAAATGGGGGAGGTATGTGGCATCTCTGACGTTATTCAATACTATCATTTAGTCACAGTACACCGTAAACTTCCCCAAGAGCCCCACTTATACCCCTCCCCCCTTCCCCCATTTATAGGCCCATCCGGTAAACAAAAACATACATCCAGGTGCAAGCCCCCCTCTAGCTTGTATTGAAATGAATTCGACTTTTTGTGACGTTTTGAAGCTTAAAAAGGCGATCGAAATTCAAAAAATCAGCTCTGCTATGTAGCTTGGTTTGAACACTTTTTTAGCCGGGTTATAGATCTCTAGAAATGCATTCTAAGCAGCGCTATAAAATTTGTATACCTTTTCGGTCATCCTAAGGGAACTTGAGTCCTTTCGAAATTACAAGGGCTTCAGTATATTATTTTCCCAAAAATTTTAGATGCAATTTGACGTGTTACGAAAGTGAGCATTTCTCTGATTCCTTTCTCCGTCACATTTTTGAATCCGAAAATTTTAGGTTTCCCTTTTTGTACGAAAAATAGCCTAACCTGGGCAGTGAAATGTGAAAAATTAAACTTCAGAAAATCGTATTGAATTTGTTAGAAAAGCTTCGAGAATTGCACATGAATAGAACGGTCACCTAGAAATTTTTTGCCGTTCTCAAGAAATAGAAAATTCTAGGCAATATTTTCTTCTTCGAACAGATATTTCACAAAAAACAGTCGTTGGGTGCTCTTGCCTCCCGTATCCAATTAAAGCAAAGAGATGCGTATGAGAGCACTGAAAAACAGGGTGCTTCTTGGTTTTGCAGAAACCATTGTTGGTTAGACATCATGGTGTTGTAGTGTGGGTGTTGTAGTTTTGGATGGCTGTGATCACTGCACTGAACCTAAAAGTTGTGACGATACTGAGGAGATAATCATCTTTGGATGCAAGAAAGCTTATACACTTTACGAGGGCAGTGTTTTACTTTTTTCCCTTTTACAGGTAATAACACAAATTCAAGCTCGATTGGATATATCGCCACACAAGGTATGGTGTGTCCTTTTGTTATAAACAAATTTCGATCATCGTATGGTCTCGCTACGAGGAATTATGCCAGCCTTATCTCACCTTTTGATTAGTGTCTGACTCGTTGGGTTAGACACATTATGGTTGCGCACTATGGTTTTGAGCAGGGTCAACCTGAAATTCACAGTTTGCGAATAAAGCCGTCTCCCCTCACTCCTCGCCACGTCTGGTGCAGATGTCTTTCCTGCGAAATGTCCCTAGCCTCGAGGAGCGAGGAGGGACGGCTATATTCGCAGGCTATGAAAATCCGCATGGCAATTTATACCGTGCACAGTTACGCTGGTGTCAGTGCATTACGCATATGTTGATGTTGGACAAATTAACCCCTTTTAAAAATTTTCCTGCCCCTGCTCAATCAAATTATCTCCATTGGTTAACGACGTCTTGATATTTCTATTAATACTATACAAGCATGAACAAAAACAACTTGAAGTTCTAAAACAGCTCTAAATGTATTAGGAACCTGACATTATGAAGTATTCTCAAATGAAACAATGCGAAATTATGCAGTGACATATTTTCTCTGGTACTGCGTTGTTTACATGAGTTGTGTTAATCAATAAAACCTGATAAAACATCTCAGTTAAAATGCAAGTGTTTGGTCTCAGATGAACAACATGTTTGATCTCAGATAAAAATCTGGTGGTATTTTATCTGATGTTTCGTTAGGTGTCAAGATTCATCCATCTGAACCAAATGGTCGTCATTTATTGGCTTTTGACTTCTTGAATAATAAATCAGTTTGAGAAGACATGTTACATGTAAAAACTAGCAGTAATGTAGGAGCTGCCAAAACTCGGGCTTCGTGCCTCATCACGGGTTCCAAACACCTGACACAGATGAAAGCACGAGGCCGTAGGCCCAGTGCTTTCACCTGTATCTCAGTGTTTGGGACCCGTGATGAAGCACTCGCCCTGGTTTTTGATGTATTCCATCAGGCCTCTAAAGCAGGAACCAATGAAAGAAAGCAGTTGAAAACCAAATTGGAGACATTTTTAGTATAAACTGTTCATTGGCATCAATGAAACAAATTTTGCAGCATTTTGCTACAAAAAAAAATGCCCTTTTGCCGGCACAAAACTTGATGCTCAAAACATTAAAAAATAAATGCCCAAAATGATGTTGGCATGATTGTGTCTAATCCTACTCACTCCTGACCCCAGTCTTCTTTCATCAGTTGTAAGCGGGCACGGGACGGTCTCGGTCTCGGTCTCGGTCTCGGTCGGCTTTGGTAGCAGACTAGGAACGGTCGAGAGAGACCGCGATTACGGCATCTCAGCAAACCATATTCTACGCGCTTTCCTCGTTCAGTTAAGAGACAAAAAAAGCGAATGGGGACAAGCATCCAGTGGATTTAAAGTGAAGACTAGATACGTAGTTAATAGACCACTCTGTGGATTTTATTTTAATGAAAAAATAATTCTCTTTTAGAAGATCATAAAAAAGGCTTACTTTAAGATGTTGATCTGAGCAACTTAAACAAAAGTTTTTATGTTATTGTTTTCATTTGCAGCAACGACTAAAACAGAGTCGGTATCTACTAGTTCGCTTTATGTTTATGGTAAGACTGGCTTGATTTACTGCAATCAAACTACGTACTTTTTCCATTGCCATGATGAATAATGTATATGTAGAACTCTGTCATGTGCCATGCCTCAGTTTAACTTGATAATTAGCTTAATGTTTAGACGAGGCAAATGATCTTTGTTCGGAAATGATCCTGCTTTGGTTTCATACATAAAAATAGGCCTTAATCCTTCAACTAGTTTTTTTTGTATTCGATTAGTTTCAGATCCGTTGGAAGTCGAGTAGTAGGACGGGAAAGATACGGATAGGAAATGTTCATACCCTTTGCTATTCTTTGTCAACATTCCCCACTTTTTTCAAAGATCGAATATTTTCATACGGAAATTAACATTGTCCAATTCGTTTTTATGCAGCTGGCCAAATTGCTCCATCTTCATCGTCTGAGCATTATGCACCATCAAGTTCGTATGCGCTGCCACCTCCTTTGGACTTCCAGTTTCATGTGCCAGCGGACTGTGATCAAATCTGCACCAACACTCAAGGCAGCTATAGCTGTTCTTGTGTCAGTGGTTATCGACTGTCTTCTGATGGAAAATTCTGTTTAGGTGAGGTCCCACGTTAAAAATGGAAGTGCTTAAATCATCTGAGATACTTCAAAGAACCAAGTAGAGGTGTGGGTGAGATTAGTGGCGCACTCTGCATACATAATTGACCAGTGACGCGGGGAATAGGTAACTCCTTTAAATTCCAGCGTGTTTGGCCTGCGCGCTGGTGGCATTATGCATTGCGGCCCTTGCTTAGAATTGCTTAGTTTTTGCCCACCTCTTGGCCAGTTCAACGGAGTTCAGTGGAAGTAACTTAGAAGTTTCGCCCACCTCCTTTGGTGGCGGTTACGTCGTATACCCTCATTTTTCGCCTATTTTCCTGGCAGTCGCGGTTTCCTCTAGTTTCCGATGTCGGGACGTTGGGTGTGCAGTGCGACTATTATGCAGCTAGGTAATATTTATACAACGAATTGAGTCCTAGACTCGCTGTGATTGATTGGTTTCGGGGAATTGGTCGTTGCCTATGATCTCTTTAACAATTAGACTACCAGATCGAGTTTTCTATGACTCAATAGTCAACGAGGCACGAATTACGAGTAGAACGAGTGGTCTATTTGTCTTAGCAGAAACTAATTAACTGTCACACTACTTGATACCAGGTTTTGTGAAAATATTTTATACAAACCTTTGTTTACACAACTTGAATTCACAAAATAGTTTTCCACGAATAAAAGACTAGGTTTGTACTTCTTGTACATTATGGCTGGTACTTAAATTTAACTGTCAGCTTGAAGCATTTATGGCTTTTTTGGTTGAGATTCGGTTTGACATTAAACGTACTCTTCATAGATATTGACGAATGTTCTACGAACAATGGTGGCTGTAGCCATCATTGCTACAATATTCCTGGATCGTTTTATTGTGGATGCCCTCAAGGTACAACAATGGCCAGCAATAATTTGACTTGTGTTGGTAAGTTTGGTCGCGTTTCATAACAAGCAAAATTAATAGGCCATTTGCAAGATGACGTCATTTTACTACTACGACCAGAATCCTTCAGGATTTGCTTTCTTGTGTATATTATCGCTTTTGTTAATTAAACCTCACTGGAATTACCAAATTTGAATATGAAAGGAAAAACGTAATGGATTTTGTTCGTATATAGTAGTAAAATTGACGCCGTCTTCAGGCCAAATTTTTAATTAAAAAAAGTGCAAACTAGCGTATTCTGCTAAGATATTTTCTGCAACGAGATTTATCTTGATGCCTTGCTTATTTTAGAACCCGGCGTTTCAGTTGCATGTGACGAGAACAACATGGCCATTTCTTTGGAGAAGCAAACATTTCCATTTTTGAACGTCAGCAGTTTACATCTACGTTATGTTTCATGCAGGTAGTGTATAATTTTAGTACTGAATACAAGAGCTCATGAATCGGTTTCTAAAAGGCTGATTAGCGCTAATCCGGGATTAAAATTTTTGTTCTGTATTTTACCTTGCTATGTATTGCTTAGAATAACATTTTGTGTTATCATTACTCAGTACCTTGGATCCGGAGTAAAGGCTAATCAATATTTTGTAAGGTCGAGTGGCATGTTCTTAGACAAAAAACATGGCTTGAAATTTGGCTTAATCCTGGGTTAAACTTAACCATCTTTTAAGGAACTGGGCCCAGCACTGAAAGTACCGCCACCAGCACAGTTCAGTTGGGCGAGCGCCTGTCTGCCGGGCCGCAGGTCGTGGGTTCCTCTGACCAACTACGAGAGTCTTTTAGAACACTGGTGGTAAGATCACGCTACCTGTGAATATAGCAGATCTTGTCTCTGTTCAGATGTTCGCGTCATAAGATGTGACGGTTAGCCTTAGCCTGAGTATCAGGCCTTCCTAAGGGGCTAGGGGAGAGAGGAGATTTGAGATGGGGGAAGGGGGAGGGGGAGAAGAGAAAGGAAGGCCTGACACAAAACCATTCAGCAAATCGTGTGACACATCCAAAATCTGGATGTGGCAGTGATTGGATAACATACAATACCCCCTGACGTCACCGGACCACAAGAGCGATCGGCAAGAAGCCATTGACATTTTTCATAGATGCTTTGATTTCATGTTACCGGTATGTGATACTTTTATGGACAGAGACGCAGAGAGGAATTCAAAAAGGCTCTAGAGGGCGCTCTCAAGTTCTTTCCTGGAATAAAAATAAAAGCCGAGCAAGAATTGTGTTTTCAAGGCCTTGTAGTTTAAAGGAAAGATGTACTCGGAGTATGGAAAAGCCTCATATACCAGCTTCTACCGAAACTATGTCCGAGTATTGGTTTCACAAGACCGGGACAAAGACGACGATATCAGCGTTTCAGATATCTAAGTTCTGATTTACAACATCCTGCCGTTAAAAGGGTATTGTTACTGTAAATGGAAATATAGCGAGGTAGCCAAGCATTGAGATAGCCGACAGCACCGTACTATGGCCGTACCATTGCTTTTAAAAAGCTTGACTTTGCTTGTGGCGGTTACGATAGCGTACGTGATTGGAATTCGTTCGCTTCCTCTTCCAAAATTTTCTTACTTTTGAAATGTCTTAAACTCAACCGGGCGCCATCATATTTCGCCAACGGGATTGACCTTTGCTAAGGCTCTCACTTTTTTTTAACTTGTAAGAGCTTTCACGGACTCTCTGTGAAGTGGTGGAATTTGCTGCTGCTTGATAATTTCTAGGCAAAGGTGTTTCACCATCGCACCTTCCTATTTATTCTTGCAGCTCCTTTCAACCACCCGAGGATACGAGGGATAACATAAGCTTTTTAGCTGCCAGACAAGCGCCTGATGTAACTCTGTAAACAAAAGCAATTTACAATTTTCCGGGGCACGTTTATTTACAAGCAGAGCGTTGGCGATCTTATACTAGCACAATTTTTAAAACATGTTATAATTGCTGTAATGTTTTAAATTACAAGTGTTCGAAAACTCCTCATTGGAGGTTTAAAAAAAAAACGAAATCGTAGCAACACAAACACCGGACCTCGGCCAAACTGTAAAGTGAGATTTATTTTAGGCGAGCTTTTTGACACGTGAAGCTGACAACCCAATGACCGGAAGTGATTTTGATTGGATGGTATCGAATCATGCTGTGTGGGGGGTGGAAGGCTCCAGTAAAAGCATCTGTGTCAGGCGTTTCTCTCCTTCAGATCTCTCCTTTTGTCGCTTCCATCTTTCCCCTTTTCCCCAGAAACGCCTGATACTCAGGCTAGGTTAGCCTTGTCTCCTTCATCCTTCTTTCATTGGTCAAATCATATTAAGGGGTCATAAATGACCCACACTAGTCTCTTGTTAGAAAGAATAGAGAAGTTTTCCTGGTGGTATGGTCAAGGTGTGGCCAACCTTCATATCATGGGCTGGGTGGGTTACAGTAGGGAGCTTGAGCTACTACGATGGCTACGGCTACGAAAACGTCACTTAAAAAGTGAATTCGCGCTTATTCCATCTCGTTTAGTTCGTCGACCGGAAGCAAGCCCCTTTCTCTTTTAATTTGCCATGATGCTTCCAACTTTGTATTGGTAAGCGTTTACAGTTTCATAAAAACGATTCGACCGGAACTCTGGGCAAAATCACAGCCCAAAAATGAAAACAATCCACTTCCAGTTGACGTGCGTCGCTCAAAAACGTCTTTGTTTGAGCTCACTAATATGATATGCTGACGTCCGAGCTTACTGTTAACATACCGTAAATCCCCTATTAAGCTCCCTCTCTCTAATACGCCCCCCTACCGTCCCCCTATTATTATTCACTAATAAATGATAGGCTGTTTTAATCAATCAAAACTGTAAAACTTCATTGGGACTGATCCAATATGGTTTATTCACCATCTGGAAGTTAGGATTTGTTTTTGATCCTCGGCTGCGTGACCTACAGCTGCACAACTTCTTGTACTTGAGCTTTTCCACTTTGTATTCTAGTTCGTTATGGAGAACTGATACTAAATTAAATACGCACCCCATCTCCATTAAGTCCTCCACCCTCCTCAAATGTGTTTGAAATTAATAAGCCCCCTGGGGGCTTAATTGAGGATTTACGGTAAGTACGATGAGTATGATCGTCCGGGTGAACGTAGTCCTGAATAGGACTGTTGGTGACAGTGACTGACGTTTCGACAACCTACGCGGTGATCATATTCAGAGTTAAAGTAAGTTCTATCAGATTAGTTGATGGGATCAAACTCTGGTTATTGACCTGATTGGTGAATTAAGCCGCGGTGACACTGGTCATCTGTCTGTTATGCCGTGATGTTATTGGCTATGAAGACTCCTAATGTCATTGGTGCGTTTCGATCCTTCTATTGTCACAGTTTAATTGTTACGTAGTCATATCGTCGGTTGTCCAGTCATTCTCTTGTTTTCTTTTAGCTAGTTTTGCTTGAGTCTGTCATGAACCGTTTTTACGGTGCAGGTAACAGTTGACTAGGATTCAGTGGCCTTTGTTCTAAGTTAGTAAACCAGTGAATCGTTGAGAGTATTTCGTGGAATACGTAATCATGACATGTCGCAGAGTCCCTGTCGATTTGATGTCTGGTCTGTAAATGGTGTTGAGCAATGTGATTGTTGACGTCATCATTTCTTGTCGCTCGTTAGGCTAGCTAACAAGTCAGTTTTCAATCCGTTCTTATCTTCTTCAAGTTTTTCCATCCGTGCCTGCTTTTTGTATTTGCGCTGTTATTAATACCCAACCATTACACAAATAAATAATACAATAAAGCTTTATCCCAATTCTATGTTTACATTTTATTTATTTTGTTTCTACTTCTTGTCTTTAGAGCTACAGAGAATTCTACACACGTCTTACTCAGCAGCCCTTTAAATTCCTGCGGAACACTGGTGAATGAAACAAAAGATGCATTAATCTTCTGGAATGAAGTCCGAGCAGATTCAGTTATTATCGCCAATGTCATCAGTCGGACACACGATGTCAAATTTAAATTTTACTGCAGCTATTCCAGAAAGAAGATGCTAAGCATTCAATTTCAACCCAAGCATATTTTCATTGGATCAGAAGGTTCTCTGATTATGCTTTAATCATTTTTTTTTTCGCCAATAAGAAATATTGATATTGAAATTTTAGACACACTTTTTTGCCCTCCATTTCAGTTAAAGGACAATTTTAGGCCTTCACGTACAAGTCATTAAGCTTACTTAATGCTCACACGTCACATGATGTACAAAATCAATGCTTTCATGAATCTGTTCACGATAAATGGTGTTTACGCAAAGGCGTTTGGCAAACTGAAGTTGGCTTAGAACGCGGTTTTGTTAAGCACTGCCTAAACTCGGTTTAAACAACTGGCCCTCTGTGTTTAAAGTAAAGTTCGGTAGATGATTCACAGTGCATGCACCACGGGTCGGTTGATCAGTCTTTTAGTCAGCTCAATTCCCTGTAAAAGGATAATTTAATTCTATTCCGGCAACGTCATAAGTCTACCCTGAAGTCATCAGATCATTGAACTTACCTGAGACAAAACCCATGTCTTTCCTTTCACAAAGATGAAAATATTCGACCGGGCCTTTAAACAAGAGAATAGGGCCACGTTGACCATGCCCAGAAAACTGTAAATGTCTAAAGGATTTTTGACGGAGTTTCTACTTCCAAACCAAAAAGAACGCTAATCTTAATTATATTTTGCTTCCTTCTTAGCTGGATATGGGAATTTCACTTTCAAAATGGACTTTTACAAGACTGCAGCATTTGCCACTCCCTATACGGAGAACGAATACCCAATATCAGTCGCGTTAAATGAGTATCTTTACGTAAAGTACAGTGTGGAGTCCAGCGCCAACCTGGTGATCATGGCCGAAAACTGCAAAGCCACAAAATATGGAAGTTTCTATTCCTGGCCTTATTATAACATTATACAGAATGGGTGAGTATAATTTATATTCAGGATCTAGGCTAAAAGTCTTCCCTCATTTTCCTCAGGGAAAGTTGAGAGGGCGAGGTAGGTGTGAAAATTGCCTCGCGCGGAAGAAGCGAGACGCTTGTCACTGGTTGGGGATTCTCACGAGCGCTCGCCTATTTTGCTTAACCTTAACTGCCGCTGAAGAAAACAAAGGAATACCCGTAGTTTATTCCTGAATAAGAAGAAAGGAAAACGTCTGTTCGAATGAGTTTATATTTCCATAATTTTATAATCTCCATTCACCTTGACTCTTGGGCAAGATTTACATCGTTTTCCCCAGGTCTTGCTGTTTTTCCACTATTGCCTGTATTGCGGGCTCGATTCCCTGAACTGCCCCTGGCCTGGTAATCGAGCTTATACTTGATCATCCTTTGAAGGGCTTATGAAGTTGAATATCGTATCATCATAAACAACTGCTAGCTCTTATTTACGAAAATTGAGCTTCAGCGAAGCACTAGACTAGCCTTTGCGACGGAATCAATTTTCATCTACAAGTAGAGCTTAATCTTGATGGGATAATTTTGAGCAGAGGAACGCCCAGAAACATCCATAGTATAAAACTAAACTCGTTTCTGTTTTTAAACATTACACACTAGTTGCGAGCGAGATACAACTATGGAGTACACGTTTAATCCATCAGGGAGTTCTCAGCAGTTTAAAATTAGAACGTTCAGGTTCTTCAACGACTATAACGTTGTTTACTTCCACTGCGAGTTGTTGGCTTGTTACAGATACGCTTCTAATTCCAGGTATGTCTATAGTAAACCCTCCCTGTTACACCGAGGGAGCAATACGTAATCTGCGTACACCGAACTGAATGATATTCTTATTCCATTCTTGCTTTTTATTGCAATGCAATAAAATTGCAATGTCAAATGAAATGTTCTTGCTGTATTTTGCATATCTTAAAGCTCATAAGCATGGTACACAGGTAACTACATTTGCAAGACCCTTAATACCTACAAGTAAAATGTTAATCGAAATAACATATTAGGTTGAAAAGACTGGGGATCTCCACTCTTTATCATAGTTTCACGACGGTTGCTTCAATCCTACATGTCTTGCCGCAAGTGAGATTTTGCACCATATCAGAAATGCTAACGGCTCTGGTGATCTAAAATCTGGATACTCTCTATTTAACAATTACTCCACGAGTGCGCCTTAGACATGAGATGGCAGATGGCCAACAAGCGCGAGTAGAACAAATGTTCAGTTTATTAAAACATCCGAAAAATATCGAGAATTCTTCCCTACTTTATTTGTAAAACCCACCGATTTTCGGCTTGTTTTTACTTTTGAGCAGACACGTAAAGTTACCATATTTGGAGAGCATGGTATAATGGCTCGTATACAGCTATTTCTAGAAAGGTTGTCGCAAAAACTGTGCACGCGACAATCCCGAAAGGTAATATGGAATATGATCAATACACTTGTTCCTGACACTGTAGCTGTCGAACCTACATTTGTTACTTTCCTTTAGCACTCGCAAACATACGTCCATGGCCTCTCTTGCCATTTTTTGAAATTTGTTTGAAAAACAGTGAACTGAAAACCGCCTACAATACCTTTCGGGATTGTCGCGTGCACTTTTTCCGACAACCTTTCTCGAACTAGCTGTATACCATGATGGCTAAGCCAATCGGAGCTCTAGAATTGCATTATCCAATGATTCAGTTTTTAATAATTTGCATTATCCCCGGCCCAGTATCCTATTATCCCAAAAAAAAACCGTCTTACGAAGAAAACAATCCAATTTTGGGGGTGAATGGGCTAAACTCCAAACTAAAGCATAGAATAGCTCAAATGTCGATTTTATTCGGGAGACTCCAGGAAATCCTGGAGAGTTGGCACAATATGCAATATGAAAGCGGTTGAACAAAAGCAAAGTAAGACACTTTGTAAGCAAAAGGTTTTGTTTACAGATGCAGCAGGGGTTGTTTAAGTAGCAAAAGGAGAAAGAAACGAGACGCAGTTGAGGAGGAAAGTACAAGCAGACATATTCTCTCCAGCGGCCCAATTATCATCAAGAAGAACGAGAAGAAGATAGAAAAACGTGACGCAGGAGGTAGGCCGCACAGACACCTGAGGGCGTGTTCGATGGACCGTATCCCGGACTAAGAATGAATGGAATAGACTCTAGAAATTACTTGTTTTGGCTTTCATTGCGTTCTTAATTAAATAGGCTTTGATAGATTGTGCTCGCAAAAGTAACTGTGCTCGTATATTTCTAAAATTATGCCAATAATTATGCTAGTTTTTGTGAATTTTGCAAAGTTGCAGAACTGAAGGATTATGCCTCTATTTTTTTTACTTTTAATTTGCTAAAAATACCCTAATAACTATGCAACAAACAAGTAAAAGGGAAACACGTTTACTCTCTTTACATCCAGAAACATTACGAGTTGCATTACTCATTCTCTGAAAACTATTAAAAGTCCCAAACCAGTCCTAGGGGAGTTGAACACTTTTCTGTTTTGTCGCAGGAATTTGCATAATGGCTGGCCACTTTAGTGAATACATACACACTCTATATCCGTCCGTCACTTATAATAGCTTTCCCTTCCCTTTCCTGTTACCTTAAGACTTGTCTAACTATGGAGGTTTATTTTTTTCCTTTGTGATAGATACTGGGAAAAGCCAACAAACTGCTTTGATTGGTGGTGCAGCGGCGGTGGGGGGACTGGCCCTGATTGCTATCATAGCCTTGGCTGTTTTAGCTGCTAAATACCGCATTGCACGAATATTCATGAACAGGAAAAAGGTCAGAGACTTGTACACTACCCAAGATGAACAGATGAGTCGACGAAATGCCTACATCCAAGAAGATGACATTATCGAAAAGGAAGACTCCTTTTAAATTGAATCCTTACGTTGAACACTTATCTCGTACCCAGATCCCTTGTCGACAAGACATCTGGGTACGAGATTAGTTGAGCACATGACAAGTCCCGGGGAACTCCCATATAAAAGTGACAGAGATGCTCGTCGCAAAATTAAAATTAAACTTCTCAGGGAGATCAATGTGGGTGTGGCCAAAAATTAAACTGGCCCCTAGTGGAGACCGTGCTGAAATGGACATGACATCGTAAATTTCCGCATGTACAGTACAGCCCTAATACAAACGATACCTGAGTGGGCAAATATGGTGACTTTCCGTCCCAAAAAACCCGAAGTGAGACCTAAGGCTGCAATTTAAATCCCTTACTAAGCGAGACGACAAGCATCCCCGTTACTTTCATAATTATCATTCCTCCCGGGCAATAAGTGATGTAATAGTAGATGTTAACTGATTCTTTGATTCTTGTTTTCAGAAGACAATAGCGCATAGTCAACTAATTAACTTCCTTCAGAATACGATTAACATAAGGAGCAGAGCTAAGTGTCCCCAAATTACGTCGACATATCCATACAAGAGATCGAAGCAGGAGTTTTAAGAAGCCGCTTTTTATTATACTACTTATACTAGAACCTTGACAAATGGCTGCCCGTACCACGGCTGAAGATATCATGTGGACACCGTGAAGGTTCTGCTGTGATCACTGAGTTCATATTTATAGTGTAGTAGGTTTTAAGATCGGGGTAGGATGCGGTTGAATCCGGAGGCAGAACTTAGATTGCAGCTTAAGTTAAGTTCATAGTTTCTATTTACTTATATTTAGTTAAGTAGGTGTTTTATGACGCTCTTTAAAGTTTTAACTTACTCAGTGGATGCCTGGCCTGCGAAAAACAGCAACTCCCCAGCAAATAAAGCCATTTAGCGTGCCAAACCCAAGCAGCTACAACCACTACACTGTAAGAAAATGCGTTTTCTTTCGCAGTGCATGCTGCTCGCTCCCCAGTATGGCTGAAAGTGAAACAAGCGTAAGCACCAATAGGAACCTTCAGTGTGAAGTAAATAGTTTCCATTTTCCTTTGGCACTGTTAAGACATCTCAAGAGATGGGAAATGGGACAGAGAGAAACTTTTAGGGCGTTAACCAGGATGTGCAAATTTCACTCAAGTTAGTTTTAGTGGTTCATTTAAACGGACTAATTCCTGAGACGTGCGCACATTTAAATCGATGGTTTGAAACGCCATCAAGGCCTTGCGCAACTGCCTCAAAGCAAACAATGCAGAATGTTGTAATGGCGACTGTTCAGTTCTCTCGACAACATTAAAAAAAGGTTTGCGGACCTCTCCGGAAACCAACTTCCGATTTATTCAAAACATTTAATTGGTCTAAGAATAGCTTTGGTGAAATTCACCTATCGCAGGCTTGACTGGGCGTTTCCCGCTCTGTTCCATTATTCTCTCTTGGGCTTCTATGTTACTTTCATAAAAATCTAAACGTTTTCATTTTCTGACTTTTATTAACTGCGTGTGAACTGTCTCTAGGAAATGTTTATCAAGTGCAGTGTAATAGTTTTTAATTAGACGCCTGTGTTCATGCTGTTTGATCAATTGTCATTATTTTCATTGCTTCGTCGGCGTGGCCAGCAGTAGTAGTAAGATTCCAGTAGCTTATAAGAGCCTTGAAAAGCCAATAAAATGTTTTTGTATCATTGCTCATTTGCATTTTTTGGTACCAAGTGTGATAACCCAGGCAGGTTCGTTTACGACTACGTCACTCAAGATATCTGCACAGGGGGATGCAAATTGTGTGACCGTACGCGTTGGAATGAACGGGAGTATCGAAAAACTTCACATAATCGTTACATACATGTACTGCCATGAATGCTCACATACAGACCAATATAATCGTTTTTTATCTGTAATGTTGTGTATTGTCCTTCTTGCAGCTGAAAACGGGGAATTTTTAACTAGCGATTTGAAAGGTGTGCGTTCGACGCTTAGCTAAACGACAAAACAAAGCATTTCAGCCAGGTAAAAAAAAACAAAACAAAACAAAATTACAAAGGCTGAGGCTAGGGGTGTGTGTTGGAGGTCTGCCCACCGGACATACGGCTTTTCCAGACAAATGACTAAAAATAACTTATAAGCGTGCAAGTCATGCGTACAGGGTGTCTTGTATCAGACAAGACGCAATCGTTTTATAGAAGTTGTTACTCAAGTATTTTAAACGTTTAAAATAGGTTTATTTGACTGTTGAAGTAGGCTCTCTACGCTCCTCGTACAAACGGTCCAATAAAAAATATTTCGTTACTAAGTGCAACCTCGCAAAAATAATTTTAAGAAGTGCGACCTGTATTACTTGGGAGAAATTCTACCTTGTATATCATCGTAAATGATTCCGCGTGAATTAAAATAAGGAATAAAAGATTAAAAATTACCAGTTCGTCAATGATTCGTACTTGTAATCCATAATTCTTTTCCGCAGTTTTTACCCGCTTATTTCGTAACTTGACAAAAATCCCTTTGCCAACTTGAATTTGGTTTTTGCTATAAACGAGATTCACAATCTACTCTAATTCAAAAAAAAAAAAAAAAACAATTGGAGCTGCTTTTAGCACACGGTGCAAACACTTTAATTCTCCCAATATGAGATACATTTGCAAAATATCTACATTAAAAAAATATAACAAAGTGTACATACATTGATTAAAAGGAAGTTCAGATTGTTTTGAACAAATAGGCGGAAGTCATTATTCTAAAATGCACCTACATGCAAGCAAGATAGTGCTGCACACAAATTGAGTTAAAAGTACCATTGATAGCAATTACAAAAACTAAAAAGCGATGCAAAAAATAGATGCCAGTTCCCCGCCAAGGTGGGCCCCTAAATACAATAATTGTATGGGGCAAGCTAAAGAGGCGTGGAATAAAAAAAGTGTCTACGAAAGACACAATTAATAGAAATGTGCTCTTGAGACGCAATTGTAACCACCTATCGAGACAAAGAGTTCTTTACTTAATATATAGATTTAGCCAGGGCTAAAAGCGAGGCTCCCATTAATAAATTTATAATTTAAATCAAACAATAAACTTGTATTCCACAATTCAGTTCACTTTAGAGCACATTCTTGTGACTTTTCAGGGAAAGGCTAAGTGATTTTACAAAATATAATTTGCAAACAGCCCAAGAGTGAACCAAATCTCACATCGAGTTGATAGCCTCATAAGTACACCCCAAAACTGGCAATCATCTTCGATCACATTTGTTAAGAGCCATAATGCCTCTTGATCACCGTACATTAATTAGGCCTGGAAAAAAAATTCCGGCCGAATTTTTTGCGTTCGACAAGTTTATTTTACAAAATCTTGCCAACAAATCTGGGTGCGTGTAAACCAACCTTTTATATAATTTATACATCACATCTGAGGTGAAACAGTATTATGAGGCACTGTTTTTATCATACAGACCTCGGACAACAGAATGCAGTATTTCACAATATTGCGATACAAATTGCTATTCAGGACGATCGAAGCACGCGTGGGTTTTAGCCGTAAACCGTTAAAAAAATTTTCAAAATCATCTATACGGCCAGCCGGTTCTGACTTTTACAGTGCTAGCAGTGGCGAGTGTTTGAATGAACATTAACAGACTTACGCTCCAACATAATAAAGAATTTATTATGTTTATTTTTTATTTTAAAACGGTTTAACGCGCGGCATTTTGAGTACTCCGGGAAGCGTTGTTTACTGAACGACTGAAAACAATCGGCACAACGATTAAAATTATAAGAGAAAGTACTAAGAATCAATAAAAGAAATATAATTCGGTGAAACATATACAGAGAGGACAATTTTCATTCAGCAAGACAAGTATTAAAGTGTCTCTAACAATCCTGAGTCTTCGAGCTTAAAGCTGAAGTTTATGTTTTAAGCCGGCTTCCCGGTGTTTGCTTTTTCCAAAGACGAACTCGAACGTAACTCGAGGCAAGGAAATCGCTCAAACCTTTCTTTTACAGCCAGAATTATAACTAAATATTCCTTAAAACGTTTTCTTTCCTAGTATTTGCCGTGAGAAAATGGCTAAAGGCTTTTTAAAGATCTGTAAGCTTATAACAAACCTGATACTCGGTCAGGTCATTGTCTCAAATCTTACAAACGTGCGTAAACAAAATAGCCGCATAAACTACGCTCGACTTCATTAAATTAAGAATAAAAAACAAACATCAAATACAATAATTACTTAGGCTTACCACTCGAGATGCAGCTCCTGAAAGGTATCAAGTAAGGCCAGTATCGCTTCAGACTTTGCAACCCTCTTACGCATTAAGGGAGATGAAAACGAAAACGATGCCATCCGAAATGACTAAACCAAAAACCCAATAAACAAACTAGCCATGAATACCATGAATAACAGAAGACTCCTGATAGCAGCTGAATTTCATTTTGTACATCCAGTGGAAAAAGAAAGTTAAAAACATCACAAGTTGACACAAAACTCTGTCAGCTTCAGCTGTCAAAGTAAACAAGATTCAAGATGCTGCATAAATTTTCCGCATGAACTCACCTGTCAAATTTTGACCAATCAGAGCATAAAAATTGGACGTAGAGCGTGACCAGCGCGTGAACATGGCGAGAAAAGTCAAAAACAACAGTCTTCCCTGCCTGTAGCAGCTGGCTGAATTTTCGCGTCCGAGGTCAGTCAAATCAAAATTTTAATTGTGCGGCACATTAACACAACATATTTCATATGAATTTTAAAAAAAATTAAACTTGAGCCTGCGATCATTTGAAAATCAGTACCTTGTCAGCGGATAACTTCAAAAAAACACTTGACCTCGATGGGTCGACACCTGAGCCCGCGATACAGTCAAGTGATACTAGTCAGCGGATACCTTGTTTTGACAGCTGTCAATGGATCACAACATTGACGTGTATCAGTTTTCCTGTGCTCCGATCCCAAACTAGCTAGAAAGTATGAGACTGAACATTGATCGCGATCTAGCAAAATAATTAACTGGTCAGCGGACAGCTTCCAAATAAATCACGTCACCTCAATGAGTTGACACATGAACCCGCGATATGGTCATGGGATACTGGTCAGTGGCTATCCTGTTTTGACAGCTGTCAATTGACCATATTGTGAATGTCCAATGTAAAAGATGTGGACTTGGCAAGACACGCCTCAGACACCCCTCCCTTCCTTTTGATAGTCTCCCCTACCCCACCCGTACAATCCGTAGACGCGTACGTACGCTCGGTCAGTCACGTGACAACCAAAAGAAAAGAGGTTGACCATAATCTATGGGTATGGGGCTCTGTCCCACGCGCGCTTCGCGCGCGTGGGAGCCCCGCTACTATCCACGCCGTTGCAGTTGTCCCTTTCGTAAACGGTCGCTGCCATTTTTAAGAAACTTAATTGGAATATTTTTGAATGATAGGAAATTGCAAGCCAGGGTCAAACCCGGACCTCGAACCTGCGCATTTCCCTTAACTACCATACCAAAACCGCCAAAATTCCGAAAAATTTAAGTACATACACTAGCAAACTATCTTTCTTAACTGTTACATCAGTAACAGGCGACCCTAGCCCTTTCCAAAACTTTTAATGTAAATTCAGGCAACTTGTGTTTCAACGTCGTTCTTTCTAAGACTATTCAAGAACGTATTATTGACTTTATTGTAGGTTAATCCTGGGAATATTATTACATCTATGATGACTAAAGGATTAGTTACCAGCGGTGGAATCGACCGTTAAAAATGGCAACGACCGTTTACGAAAGAGAAATGGACCACGCCGTTACTACATGTAGTTACGAATAAAGTTTATTTAAATTATTTGTACAATAAATAATAAATAATAATAATAATAATAATAATAGTCCCATATTAACTAAGGGACTTTTAATACTCAAAATTGAAAGTAATGAAGCATTAATTCATTGTTGACAAAATGTACTGAGTATTTTACAAAAAGTAAATATCAAAACCCCACAAATACGTTAAGAAAAGCTTAGACTTTTGGGGACAGGAGGCTAATAACACAGCTGCTGTAAAAAGAGGTCTACAATATGACCAACTGCAAGTATCTAACAAAAAGCATTGCTGCTCAGTACAATTCAGCCACGTTAAGCCTCATTCTAAGTTTAAAAACAATTTTAGTAAAGTTTAGCTAAGTTTGCAAGGTACAAAACCGTCTAAAATTGACCACAAACTGCCAACTCGAAAACTATGCAGCCTAAGTGGCCCCAGGGTCATCCATTTTTGGCTCCTTTCTTCTCAAAGGGTTTTGAACAAAATAATTGTCCTTACACGCACATAACTATTTATCTATCAATTAATTAACTAATTTATTTATTTATCGGCATTCTTTTTATTACTTATTTTGTTTCTTGTCAAAACAATTGAGAACATAGGGTAACTCATGATAAAGGTCTCAGGAAGTGTGAAACCAAACCCAAACCAAACCCTTTGCCAAGGGGATATCTCCACCTTTTTGCTGACTCACAGACAGTTGTGCAAGGGCCTTTTTTCTTTGTCGTTTAGTTTGCTTTACATTAATTTTTCGTTTTGTTTTGTTTTGTTTTTTTGCTCCCTTCTTTTAGAGTTAACAACAGTTGTGTATTTATCTCCATGGAAACAAATGATGTAACCAGCATCAGTGTAGACTTTAAGACGACAAACAGTTGTCACAGCAATGGAAGACCTCCACCGCTGACTACATTTCGTTTTCTCTTTGCGGTAATTTCTTTTGAAAGTAATTTTTTTGGAGAGCTTGCCCCTTTGCTTTACATTTTGATGATCTTTTTTCAGTGTTTGTTATTGTCTTCTACACAAAGACTGGGACAAGTAAGATGTCACAATTGTAACACAAGACATCATCTCTTATACTCAAATTGGCAACAATACCAATGCGCTGATAACTGCTGTTTCATGGCTTCTTACTTTAGTTGCATTTTTCTTGTTCCTTTTAGGGAGGACAAGGATGCTGCATAATAGTTAGCATGTAAATTGCTGACTTGTTCTGATTTTTGCTGTTTCTATTTTGTTTTGATTATTGTGGCTTTTGTTTTGGTTTTTGTTCTGTTCTGTTTTGTTTTGTTTTTTGTTTTTTTTGTTGTTGTTGATTTTGTCTATATTTCTTGATTTGTTGATTTTGCTCATATTATTTCCCCAGCTGGTAGGTATGTCTTAAACATAACTTTATATCATTTTACATATTAGTTAATGAAATTCACACATCTTCACAATCATGACCACCAAGTTAAGATATTTTAGTAAGTATTATCAGTTTCTCATTCACTGCGATAATACTTGAAATGTTGGCTCAGGATAATCAAGGATGACTTCCTAAGGCTATACCGAATAGGTTTTGCACCAGCACAATAACCATCCTGGATAGGACTTCTGTTCGCACACGATTTCTTTAACAGAACAAAAGCCGCATTGATTTTGAAAGTGGAGTCTCACATATTGGATAAGTGTTCCACTATACCGGATCTACTGATAAGCGGCATGGTGTGAGCATAGCCTAAATGTTGGGCTGGCTTTACTCTGTGATGAAAACTCAACAAAATGCCTTAAGGTGATGCTGCCATGTTTGATAATCCTTTGCAAATTTTGGGCTGAACTTAAATTTTGAGGAATTATGGATGTGTTGATATGAATAACGAGCCCTGAGTTACACACAGCTGGTGAGTTCTTGATTTCTATAGAAGTCAAAGACACGGTTTACAATGTCATGTCGCCCTAAGTAATGCAGCGCATGAACAAAACATCTTGCAGTAACAACACTTTTTAGAGTACCTAGTTTATAAATTAACATCTCTGTTGGACTTCCCCCTTGTCGGAGGTCTTCTCTCTTTATATGGTTGAGGTCACTTCTAGAAAGTCCAAGCTTCCGCCCTACATCATACCAGTTTTTGGCCTGTGCCTTATTTTCATCCAACCCGCTCACAATGATCAACTCAACATCATAATCTATGTCATCAATTTTCACTCCTGCAAACAGAGAAAAGCCGATAAAAAAAGAGCTCAACAATCACTACAAAATCAAAAACACTTTAACTAGCAGATGTAATGTAGCAGAATTTCAGTAAGCGTAGTTCCAAATTTTAAGCCTTTTACTTAGATTATGAAGTTTCCTTTTTGTAAAAGTGATAACTAAACCCGAGAAGTGAAAGAATAAGAAACCTTCAACATCAGAAAAACAAAGGTAATTTATTAGACAAGCTTTGAAAATCGTACATGAGTGGAATGGTCATCTAGAATTTTTTAGCTGTACTCTGGACAGCTATAGAAAAATTTTAGGCAATATTAATTTCCTCCTTTAGAAGGATAATTCACAGAAAACAGTCCTTAGGTGGCCATGATGAAATAATGACAATGACCATGAAGTGAAAATTGAATTGCTAGAGAAGACCCATTTTAAAAGCCAAAAGCAAACTGTTTGGTGGAAATCAAACCCACAACCTCAAGATTACAGTAATCTACAGGTACTGCTCCTGGACTCGCTGATTAGGCCAAATGGGAGTAAGACATTGGTGCGGTATGAATAAGGTTATTAATTTTGTGGAGGTTGGAGAGAGAAAGTGAAAATACTGCAGGTGAGTGACACCCATCAAGGGATACATGTAGATGGGGATGATAGTCAAATTTTGATTTACATATTATCAGTCACCAATCATCATCTTATAAGCAATGAAGAAATGACAATAATTTGCACATGGACCAATCTTGTGTAAAGTATTGGGAATACTAGGATTTTTTCATGCTCTGAGCCAAATGTGTCACTGATTGAATTTAATCATCTTCCTCAAACTTGAAAATGTATGCTCAAGTTCTTCAGATTAAATTTTTAAAATTTACGTTTTGGCAGAATCTATCTTTCTCTTTTTCAATTTTGGGGGAGAAAAAGGTTGACTTCTCTGAGCATTGAGTACCTGACAAGTTTCATTGGTGATTGGTGGGTATTAGTTACAGTGCATAAAAAAAAACTATAACATTTCTGCAGGCAGAAAGTGAACGGAACATTATCAAAACATAGCAAGTTTGAGCTTAATCTATTATGCCTGGCTCTACATGTACAAGGACAATTAAAATATTGATGTTCAGTTATAAACACTAATTGACACACACCCTCTGGAATGCACTTCAGTTCTTCCTCAAAGGTTTTTCTTTCCAGGATGGCCCTCTCACAGTCAGCACTACATCCAGGACCTATATTACCAAATTTGTGGGAAAAAGTCAAGACCTTGAATCAAGCAATAAAGTCTAATACAAGAATTATTTTTAAATGGTTCTTGTAAAACCCACCCCTACATCCACCTTCCAGGGTAAAGAATGCCCCAAGAATCCCCTAAGAAGCTGATTTATTAAATGGCTGAATCCATAAGTGGACAAGATGAAGGGAATCATGACTGTGTTGTGATTGGCTACCTGAGTAGGTGAAATAAGCCCAATTCTTCCTTGCCCGCTCCGAATTTCCCGCGTTGGTCCTGGAAGAAAAAGTTCTCTTTCTGGCCACATAATAATTCCGTTATTGAACAATGATTGACCTTAAAGACTGATCCTAAGGGAAACAGTTAATTCTGTTTCCCAAGAATCTCAAAGGTTCTGGAGGCAGAGCCAACCAATGAATTTTTCTGTTAGTAAAGTATTATTTCTAGCAAATTATCAGGGTTTGAGCTAGGATTTGATCACTGGGGGACAATTTGTCCCCTTGGCTAAAATTTTGGGGGACATTTTCATTTTTAGGGGGACAGAAATTTGTACACCCTTCTGCTGATGCAAAGGGGTTTGTCTTCTTAGCAGGGCTTCTAATAGGTCTCGGAAGAAAAAGTCAAATTTTGCGGGATTTTTAGGGACAAATTCGCGGAAAAATCGGCCGATTTTGCAGGTGTTTTCGGGGCAAACTTCACCGAAAAGCAATCGGTAAAAAACGGCCGATTTTGTGGTTATTTTCAAGGCAAATTTCGCTAGAAATCGATCGGTTTTGCGCTGATCAGACCAGCCTTTTTAACGTTTTTCTAACAGAGGTCATCATTTGCTCTTTCAACAAAAATACGCTCCAGAAATGAACCAATGGCAAAGCCTTTAACATCATGGCTAGTGCCCAGTTTTTCGCAACACAATCTGTTAGAACGTTTCAGTGACGAAGTTCCAAGATAAATTTGCAAGTTTACGGCAAGTAAATAGCCCCTATAGCTGAAATAAGTTTCAAATATGTTGTACAGACATGTATTTGATAAGATTTCTACTGAATTTCGTGGTATTTTTCGTGTTTTTGTGAATTTCGCGGCTCCGCGACCGCGCGAAGAATCAGCAAATAGCAGTAGAGCTTGACTGAAACGTAACAGCACTTTGGAATGAACTTTAAAGGTGCGATAAAATATACTTCCACGTTCTGTTTCAGCTTGCAATTTCTGTACTGAAATAAATCTCTTCGTGTGTGCTTCCTTTCAAGTTTTTTCCCTAAAATTTGAAGGGGACAAATTGTCCCCTTGGCCGTTTCTTAAAGGGACAATTCCAATTGCAGTGCGGGATTGGCGCAATGGCGCGGCCTGGCTCAAACCCTGAATTATAAATTAATTATGGATATATTACTTAAGTTCCTCCACACACATACCTGACAAACCTGGGAAGCAAGAGTTCATGCATGGACAGCAGCTCACCAAAGATGAAAGATACTGGTAACTATTTCTGGAAAATCTTCGATTTCGTTCTCTTATATAAAGAAAAAACAGAATTACCGCCCCTAAAATTGAGCCACATATGAGTAGAATGTGGGGAAGTGAGTTCCAACTGCATCTACATGTAGGTGTCTCTCTTGAGGTACTAGGATAGCTGTCAGTAGATGGCAATGTGACATTGTTCTCTGGCCTACTACAGTTTCTCTCCAACACACCAACGTTACTTATATTAATAACAGAGGAAATATTAGTTGACACATTTTCTGACGGTTCATCGCATTTTTGAGACAATAACACTTTGCAATGCAGTTCTCCCTGTTGTCCAATCACTGAACCGACACGCAAATTTCCTAATAAACAATGTGGTTCAATGTTTGACATGTCTTTCCCACAACATTCAGTGCAAGTGTAGCACTGACCGTCAGTTTCATTAAAATAATGTGTGTTTGATTTACAACTCTTTGAGCAAACAGCATCTCTATAAATCGAGCAGTTTACACGAACATCCTTGTTACCACACGATGTACACTTCTGGCATCTGAAGTTAGTGTCATGATTGGAAAACCAACCATGACCACAAGGTATACAGGAGACATCTGTTGCCTTTGGATGCACCGACCCCGGCTTTACAGATGGTTCCTGTCCCTCTTGACATGTAGGTACTGGCCAGCACTCAAATTTGGAATGATCGTTAGGATCAAAAAGTTCAACATGGTTCTTGTTATCACACCGATTCCCAAAAACCACCACCATATGGAGAAACTGAAAGAAAGAGAGAAAGAAATAAATTGTGGGGGTAGAGCATCTGAACTGGTAACCAGAACTGATCCAAATATCCTGTTGTGAAGACCACTCCTTGCTTTTTGCTTTTTTGTTAATTCTGTTTTTCCTTTATGCCATTGCCTTACTGATTATTATATTATTGTTATATGCAAATTGCAAAGCATTTTCAAAATGTAGCATTAATTAATTAAAGCTGGGCCACCATAAAAAAAACACATGACGCTCAACTCAGGTTCAACAGCTAAAGTACAGAGCTGAAATCAGCCTTTGATCCATCGGCAGGGAAAGTGCTAACTTTACTTGTGAGTTTGCCTTAGTGTAAAATGAATTCAAAGATTTTTGGGAAGCGAGCAAGGTTTTGATGGTAAATGTGGAACTGAGATGCACTTGAACTGACATGCACCAAGCTTGTTACACTTTCAACATAAAGTTTGATCTATTTACTCTAGCCTGCAAAACAGTCAGTTTTTTCTCAAAATTGGTTTAGCATAACCTTTATGTCTGAGAAAAAAACAGACTGTCTGTTTTCCATATAACAAGTTCACTCTGACCAGGGGGTTCAAAAATGTCGTTGAGCTGTCAAAACTCTGTTCACAACTCCACCTTCTTTGTGAATTAGATACACTCGTTCATTGATTTTGTGACAGAATAGTGCATACTATTGTCTGCACTTGGCTTCGTATCTATTGGTGAACACGATATCCAAAAATTCCAAAGCAAGTCTTTAGCATCATTTCCCTGTGCAATGCAGTGTTTTCTGGAAGATCAAAAATGAGTGGCAGTACACCGAAAAAGCCTGTGCCTGCTCCTGGAAAAGGGAGAAAGCCGAAAGAACCAAGCGCTTGAGATAATTGCGGCTGTTGTTTCACAACACAGTTTTGAGATATTAAGGGTGGGTGGATAAGCTCCAAAAATATGGTTGTTTCCCCCCACTAGAAAAGGTGAAACATCACCAAAGCTGTCCAGCCTTCTGAAAAACGAACTTTTCATTGTCCTGGACGAAGGAGCATCTTTCTCCACAAGAATTTGCTTGAGGTGTAGAACAAAGGTTTGAAACTGCACTGTGATGCTTTCACAAATTAGAGTTAGAGACCAAAAAGCTTCCCTCTGCTCTGATTTTAGAACAAATCCCAATTCCAGCGCCAGCAAATTCAGGGGATCATAAAAAGCGAAAGCTTTAGGAAATCATCACGGTTGGCAACATAGCGAATGACTTGTTGAAAACATAACTTTTTGGCAGCTTATTAACAGAGTGCATCAAATTGCCTGTGGCTAGGAGAAGTGGTCTCACTCCAGACCTTTTGTTTGACTGCTCACATGTGCTTGAATACACAAAAATATGGACTGTTTTGCAGTCTAAGTTTGCTCATGTATAAACAGCTAGGCTGCCATGCTGCTGCCTGGAAATCAGGTTGCTATTTTTTATAATTGGGGCAATAACCCCTCTTATTATACATTGTACTCACTATCTGTCTTCTCACTGGCTAAGAGCCTACAGCTAATTTTGGAAATAAGCACAACCTACAGATTAGTGAGTTATCTGCTAGGAGATAACTGACTAATCTGTTGGTTGAGCGCACAATGCATGATTTCCAATAACAATATCAACTGAGGTTCTTCACAACCGTGAGTTTGATGTTGTTTTCTTCAAAACAATGTATAATAAAACAATTATTTAAATCGGTTTTAGTAATACCCTAAATAATCAAGGACTCGCTAAGTATTATCAGCCTCAGCATTCAGCTTGGCTGATGACATTTACCTCGCCCCTGATTATTCTGGATATCATATCACAAAAACCTCATTCAATGATCCGGTTTAAAATCAGTCGATTATTGCCTAGGTCTTCCAAATATGGTAAGCGATGGCTGGATATGAGGAATTAGTCGGGGGATTGGAGCCAGTCAGAAATGGCGAAATATTTTGAATGAATAATAATATTGGATGTGCATTTTGATAAGCTTAAATAATTATTACAGAGTATGTCTAAATGTCGCGGGTCGCGACTCGCGGGTAGAGGTCGCGGGTGCGGGTGCGGGTAAAGGTCGCGGGTGCGGGTAAGTGTCGCGGGTAAAAATAAATCACCAAATTTAACCAAAAGATAAAATAAACAACTTTTCTAACGAAGACTAGTCAGCAGCGCAAAGGAAGACTTCTTGTAGTTGTAAGCTTTTTCGTTTATTTCCGACACGTTTCGTCTCTTACTGAGACTTCTTCAGGTAATGAATACAACTAATAAAGAACTGCGTATAAAACACGTTTTCTGCGTAAGTAAAAATTCCGATAGAAGTGAATAATAACTTAACTATGCTGTAAACGGACGTTATAAGAAACACCTTAATACATATGTTATTGCGTGTTGTCGTATTTTGGGGCCCATGCGATCAGCGCTAATCGTATGGCCCCCAAAATGCAACGGAACTATCGACTCCATCAGTATAAAGAATCGATCGATCGAAGTAAAACTTGAAATATTCTTTCTTTTTGTCACTCTGTGAAATCAGAACTATGAATGAGAGTTTTACCCAAGTGCACTGGTATTGTTGCCGTGATCAAGCAGCCAGTAACGTGGGAAAAATTCGATTTACCAGGACGGCAAGTTCTTTCGTACAACCGCGCCAAAATTTAGCACGAACGACGAATGACAACTATCGATTCATACTTTTTGCTGAGGAAGTAAGTACAAGCAAGTCTCATAAAAAAATCAAAACTGTATTTTCGATGAACCAAATTATGTCTTCATATATATACATAGAAAACCACTTCTTTTAAGTGGACATGTCATATAAGCTGACACTGCGGACGCTTACACTGAATAAAGAAGGGGTCAAGCAGGGGAGAGAAAACATAGGGGTGGTCAAGAATGTGGTTCAAGAGGAGGGGAGATTGTTTTTGTCAAAGAAGTAGCCACCTTTGTAAGATCTTGCTGGAGGACTTAATCATTTCTTTTTGTTTAATTTTCAAGGGCTCGTTGTTGAAAAACAAAAAACGTTCTAATTCAAGTATTATATCGTCTTCTTAAATGTAAAAGCTATTTCTAACTCTTTCATGTCTAACCTATCACAGCGCTAAACCCTGGTTTCACTTGCCATTTTCTGGTCTTGGCCGGGGGGGAGGATTCTTGACGAAATTTTGATTTTTCCATTACTCGAAAATGAAGAGAGAAATGTTCTAGGCATGGAGGGAACATTATTTAAGGCTGACCACTCGCAACATGGTAATTATCACAAACCAACTGGCAGATTACGCATTTATACCCCTACAATAATTTTATTTGTCTTGGGTTGCAGAAAAATGAAAAAAAAGAAGTATTAGAAAAGAAAAAAGAAGGATTAATTAAAGTAAGTTTTTCAGTCCGATAAGGTTTCGGCTGTTTAAAGCGGGCACTGAATTTTTACATACCTTTTTCAATTCACTTCGCTGCTACATATAGGTAATATAGAGGTCAGCAAAGGGCCAACTATTGACTTTTGAAAAAGTCATGCAGTCTGCAAAACAGCTACATAAAATGACTACTTCAAGTTAAATTCAAGCTTTGGAGAGAACGTGAACCCGAAATACTTTTCTTTTTTCTATCAAAACTTGAACCTCCTCCCTTACAAATCCCAAACGCAGGTATCTCGGTTACTTGGTGCAAATTTAACTAGCCAATGTAGTTTTAAGCATGTGGATTTTTCTTTAGTGACTTTTTCCTTTGTATCGTCCTTAGTTAGCTTTAAATAACTAGACTTCCTCGTTAGGACCAGTGGACCAAAAAAAAAAAAGTATTGCAAATCTTCTTTGAAACATAATCAAATTTTCCTTTATTTTATTGATAATTTAATATTAAATTTGGTGATTTTTGTTTACCAGCGACCTTTACCCGCACCCGCACCCGCACCCGCGACCTCTACCCGCGAGTCGCGACCTGCGACATTTAGACATACTAATTATTACATATAGCCGCTTTGTTTCCCAACAGTTATGGTGGCCAGCAAATCGATTCACAGGGCGCTTGTTATTGAGACCCCGGGAATTTCCTTCATTTATAATTAAAGGAAAATGTTAGACCGGACATAAATATCAAACCTTTTCCGGACAACAAGAAACGTGCGTGCAAAGCTATCTTAATTCTAGCCGCATTCCCAAAAACCAAATAATTAATCGTGTGGATAAGATCAGTGTATCATCGATTAAGCTATGGGATAAAAGTTAAATAATTTATCCTCACATGGGCCGTCATCTTGTTCCCCCGGTGTTGGTAGTAAGTTTATATAAACTTCGCATTTACATTTAAACAACTTACGGCGAAAACAGTTAGAATTTTTGAAAGGAACATTTCTGAAATGTGGAATCTTGGTGTAAAAGCTAATGCACGATCGACACAATGGGATTCCCTGCTAGCAGTCAGTTGTCAGGTGTTAAAAACCGTTCTTCTCATACTAACATCTCTGGGCCCTTTGCAAAGAAGCTTGAAGCCAATAAAATAAGTAAAGACTAAATCGATGCCAAGATAGAAAAGGGCGAAGCTCTTCGAAAAAACTCCAAAAAATCTTCCAGAACGGCTGAGCTTGCACATTTTTATGCAAAATCTCACCTTGGCTAACCTCGCCCCCAGATTCCCAAGGGCCACAATCACGTTCCCAGAGGCCGCGATCCTTTTGGTCAGCGTACATAGTGTACATCGCAGTCTTTCGAGGCACAGGACACCGACACCGAACAAAACCAAAAACCTTGGTTTATAATTTCAGAAACAGGAACCTATTTTGGGAGTGTATGCCGATGATGAGCGGCCTAGACGGTCAACGGCTCCTTTCTACATTTACGGTAAAAGAAAGAAAATCCTTTTACACGCTTGCTTTAAGCCCCAGCACGTCAATAAGGGATTGAAGAGCATAGCTTTAACCTGGAACTGCGTCATTTTCTGTAAAAAATAGTGCCCGTTTTGAGCCTGGCTTAGGGAAATTTTTTAAATTCCTGCCATTTCTTAT